CGAAAGTCTCCCTTTTTAATTTTTTTTCTCTCACACCAATTAGAGAACAAATGCTCGTATTTATCACATAAATATCTGCCCCCACCGGGATTCGAACCCGGGACCTCTCGAGTCGACGACACCATGAAACCCGGCGTACAAACCACTCGGGCACGGAGGAATGGGTTTTTTATGATATAACTTTACAATAACTTACTATGTATTTGACTATATGTTTTAACTATGTGATGCAATAAAGAGTATAATAAATAACTAAGAAGTTACAATATATTCATTTAAGAAGTATTTAATTATCTATTAATTAGAATTGATTTCATTAAGCTAGCATTCTTAGTTTGCGAATTTTTTAGGATTCTTTATGTGAACTGGATTCATTGCTCACGAGTGTAGTTTTGTGGTCTGTACTACACACAGTTTTAAATGCTAAAGCTAGGAAAAATCAACACTTCCAAGATTTAACAACTAATACCAATCAAGATTTTTGAGTACCGTATGTAAGGACGGACATAAAACATCGGACTATTCGTATTTCTCAAAGTTAAACAAAGTACCTATCTATGATGATATCCCTACCTAATGCAAGCGAGCAAATGTTTACTCGTGATTGTTTGAATTGTGTATTATGTAATTATTATTTACACCATAGTATAGAAAAATACCAGGTTATACAATCACTTTAGTATGTAGAAGATCCAAATAAAAAGTATACTGCAATTAGGTAAAAATATTTCTCAGCCCCCTGATTAATAAACAAGGAATAAGCATAGATTAGTTACGCTGTGTTTTGTTCATGTCACTCATATGCTATTTGTCATTCAATAAACAGAGACAAAATATAGAGTAACTATTCCAAGCCAATGCCACAATAGGGCATTTGACAGTATTTAAAAATAAAGTGCCAATTGTTAGCATCTGTATTTAGAATGAATATTGGCAGGAGTTTTTACTATTTTTACAGAAAAAATATTCATAATTTTACTTAAAACCCACGATAAAGTTAATAGTTTTCCTGTCTATTGTCACGTGACCCAAAACGCTTGGGATTGGTGGAGCCAAAAATGACGTCACACGCAAGTAAACTTCCGGATAAAGTGACATTTGATTGTATGGTTTGACGTTCTAAAGACAGTCGTGTGACGTCACACACCAGTGAGACGCCATATTGTCCAGAGATACGTTTTTCGCGGCAACGTGAAAATAAAGTTTTTGATTTGGTTTTTTTACCGAAATAAACAACATAATGTGTTAACAACAACGTGAGATCGTTTTCTAAAACTTGTCAAATACCCTATTACATTTGGTCGTTAACCCGTGCACAAAAGACATAACTCGAATTCGGGCACCCGAAGCAATATTTACACTGGAACGTGGGCTGGAAGACGGTGTCGGGTAAACGAAAGGAAATCTACCCGGGTACGGGCGTACTCGACTCCGTTCGTTTACACATAATCGTTTACCCGAATTCCATTGGCACTCGTATTCGGGCTAACGTCCAAATGTAATCGCGCCGTAAGACTTGTGTAGAAAAAAAATGCAAACCGGGATACAAACTAACGATCTCTTAGACAATATCTTAAAACCAATGTACTCCACCATCTCCGTGCTAAAGGAGGTCATCACGAAGTTTGTCCTATTTATCATTATGAATCTTAAAACAAGTTTTAACGCTATACGTAGGACACTAAGAAAGTTATGAGAAACTGAAAAATATTTTTATTAAAATCTTTTCAAAGAACTCTCCACCAGCCTCTATACAAAGTTTCATGTGTCTGAACCAATTTTTAAAACATTTTTTCCAGTCCTCCGCAGATACCTCTTCCACGGCCTTCTCAAACGCTGCTAGCGCTTCTTCTGACGATGAAAACTGTATCCCTTTGAGCTGATTTTTTATTTTATGGAATAAAAAGAAGTCACACGGAGCCAAATCAGGACTGTAAGGAGGGACTGACTGGTGTGGAGCCCAGAAATTCCTTCGTTTTAATCGCAGAGTGCGCGGGCGCGTTGTCTTGGTGAAGAAGGACCCCGCGGAGCCTGATGTTAGGTCGCTTGTTGCTCATTGCAGAAAAATCTTCTGGCAGACATTTTGTGCTATACCATTCGGCGTTGATGCTGCTTTGGTCTCGGAATGGAATTGAAATTAGGTACCCCGTCAAAATGAAGAAACTAGCGATCAAAATTTTCCCTGCGTTCCTCAATCGCTTCACTTTCGTAGGAGTTGGTTCATTTTGAAACAGCCATCGACTGACGCTTTGTTTCTGGATCGTATTGATAAATCCAGGATTCGTCACCTGTCATAATATCAGTCACGCGCCGTGACGAGCCTATATCAAATTTTTGTATCATATCACTGATATCCACACGGGCTTGCTTCCGAGCTTCGGTGAGATTGTGCGGCACCCAGCGGGGAAATATCCTCCTTACGCAAAGGTGCTCGTGCAAAATCTTGTGAACACTTCCAGAACCAATCTGCAGAGTATGCTGAATCTTTTCGTCCGTAATTCGTCTGTTTTCTTGAATTATTTCTTTACTGCCAGAACACTTTCTTCGGTGACAGCCGTCGTAGGACGACCACTCCTTTGTTCATCCCTTGTTCATCCCCGATATTAAGACGACCGCGTTTGAACTCGCTACACCAGCGGTAGATGGTTGTATTTAAAATGGTAAGAAATCATAGCACGAAAATGTTCTCGATGCAGATCCATTTTTAATGAGACAAGGAAAATTTAATTGGCTCTCGAAAAAATACGGTGGAAATTTTGAAAATCGAACAGTGGCATTTTTACTTTTAAATAATCAAAGTTTTCAAAATAATTACAAGTGACCAGTGTCTTATACATAAAAACTTTTTTTCGCAAAACTTTCTGTGTGGCCTGGTAGATGTACTGATTTATTTATCTATTGACGTTTCGCACCCTTTTCAGGATGCAGTCGTCTGAATTATGAGTTTGTTTTTTGGAAAAAAATTAAATCATAATTCAGACGACGCATCTTGAAAAGGATGCGAAACGTCAATAAATAAATAAATCAGTGCATTTTTACCGTTAAAACTTGTTTTATTTAATGAATGGTGTGCGTGAAAGCCTAAGAAACAATCTTATTTTACGTCCTTACTGCTTGAGCTCAAGAATTCTCTATGGTCAGAAACATGGCTTTAAATTGACCAACCACAACGGCAAAACGTGCCTCTCGATCTCTCCCGAACAGAAGAGAAAGAAATTAAAATTAGTATGGGAATGTATGGCAATATAAAATTATTTTGTATACGCAGTCAAAGTCGGGTATGTAATAAATATAGGAATATCGAAAAAAGCTTTTGGTTCCCAAAATAAAAACTGCGCCGTTATATTTTCTTAATTACGTTTTACTAAGCATATATGCTAGATCTTCCCAATCTAAAGTCTCCAACGCGTAGTTTTACGACATTCAAATTAAACTTTAAATAACCTAAACAAAATAAATAAGATTAAGTTTGAGTTAGTTTTTTTTTTATAAATATGCAACAATATTTTTTTTCAGTTCACACATCAGTGCAAAACAATTTAAGCCAACACGCCACTTAACCGACCAACAGTTAGTCGTCAATCATTTGCTGACTCGCAAAAACTACGTACAACTCATCAAAGCAGCACCATAAGTCCATATCTCATACACAAACAACCCTAAAACAATCAGTCACAGAAATCCCCATACAAAAGACATGAACGCACGCGCAACACGAACGCACCAACATCGATCGAGCTTTCAAGAGTTCCGCATGCCTGCGACTAGATGGCGCCACCATCAATGAACTTTTGACGTGAACTTGATTGGAACTTGAATAACTTAACCAAAATATCTAAGCTTTTTGTGTGATGTGAATAGTGATACCCGTGAGAACTGATATAAAACTGTAACATATTTTTAATACAAATACGTGGGAAATGTCATGGTTATTTTAAGTCTTTAAATCACCATCCTGGTCCCTTTTACCAATAACAACAGAAATTCCTTGGGAACTCAGGTGAGTAATACTGTATTTTAGTGACAATATGTTTATCTTAAATTACTTAAACACTAAAGGCTGTCTGATAACATAGTGGATCAATTATATTAAGAAAAAAGAAATTCTTCACAGGTTAGGGAAAGTAAAATGTAGGCTACTTTCTAGTTGTAGAAATTGAGTGATGTACCTACTCATATCAGAGCTATTTGGGTGATAACAATTTATAACAAATCAGGACAAGGCGACACTCTAACCGACCATACATGTTGGTTTAAAGATAAAGAGTCTACATTCTCTATGTCTCTTTAATACCAAATAAAAGAATCCAAAATCTAATAAAAAAATATGATAGAGATTTAATAATTTCACACAAATTTTCTGAATGAATTCTCTATTAAAATCTCTAAAGTACAAGTAGTAGCAATTCACAGACAATCAGCATAAGATTTAAGAATAAATTCAAGTATTTACAAACAAGGTAAATTAAAATTGTACTGCTTTTAAATTAACTCCCAATGCCCAATTATAACTTTGTTCTGCTCTTGATGAAATATGTTTTGTGTAAATACAGTGATGGCAAATTTAGTTTATGCTTCAATTAATACAAAATATAGTTTAGTACTCTCATTTGTAGATTGATTTTCTACATTACTGTCAATATAAGATGTAATTGATAATATTTTTTATTCTTTGGGGTTTTGACGATTTGGCATCTCGACGAGTATTAAAACAAAATGCTGATAGTAACTTATTTTCTTTATTTCTGGCACAATTCTTTATAAACAAGGTAATCTTATAAAAATCCAGAAAAATACACTTCATTATAGAAAAAAGGGGTAATAGTAAATTGGACATTTATTTAATTATTCGAATTACAAATAACATTTTTATTCATTACAATCTTTCAAAAACAATAATTCCTTCTACTTCCATTTACAAAATTATGACTTATTCAACAAACCTGAATAAGTCTTCATCTTATTTTAAGTCAGCCTTTTATGGTTAATAAATTCATTGGCTGTTAGAAGCCCCGGCAAACTTCTTAAGTATCGACCAAGGACTAGGCAGTAGTTATTTTACATACAAAAAAATCTAATGCACAAGTTTTGTGTCTGTGGCTTGCTAAAGAAGTTTACCGCTACCCAGAAGTTATTTTTTATGCTTTTTATCTTCTTTTCTGTGGGATTTTTTAGACTTTTTAGATTTCTTCTTCTTATGTTTTTTTCTCTTCTCTCTTTCTGAATCACTGCTGTCTGATGATGTTGATGATGAAGATGTGCTACTACTTGAGGTGCTTAATGATCTGGAAACAATACAAAAACTTAATTTAATGAGATCAGTAAAATCTTTAATTAAACTTATTATAATTTTATTGACATTGGAAAAGCAAAATCGCTTATATGCTACTTTGGAGCTGCTTACAAATTAATATTATATAAAAACTGAAATTTAGTACATTTTAAGAAGCACCAAAGTGGTGTGTGGAGTGGCGATATTTTTTTTGAAATGCAGTCCTGATAGAAATAGAAAACAGTACACTATTGAAAATTGTATAAACAAACGTGTTTTAATTTAATTTACTCCTGTTTGTGAAACTGAAGATATGACAGAGTATCGCAAATAAAAGCGCAACATCTTGTTAACTTTTGTATGTGGGTACTAGATTGATTATATTGTAACAAAACAATATCAACAAACACGTTACATGTAATGCTCCATTAAAATGTCTACCACTGATTGCTATAGAGCAATTATTTAATTCTATTTAAACTTTATTTGATAGACGCAGCCCACAGATGAAACAATATATACCCATAAAATTAATAAGATTTACCTAGATCTCTTTCTTTTCTTAGTCTTTTTCTTTTCTTTAGCCTTCTTGAGTTTCTCTTGCAATTTTTGACGCAACTCTGCTTCCCTAAGACTCTGTAATGGTGTTGCATATTCCACCTCGCTATCACTACTTGTACTGCTAACATCTAACACAATTTCTTTATTCGGATCAACCTGAAAAGAAATTGGCATAAATTAATAATGTTTCCTTGTATTTAAGACTTGAACTGTTGAACTTAGTGAATTTCCAATCACTTTAAAAGAGGTATTAACACTGTTTGCTAATTCAATAGATATATTTTTAAATCCCCAATATTCAAGGTTATCCTAATCCCAGGGTTTGTAAAATTTTAAGAAAGTAAAACATAACTGAGATAATGAATACTTTGTACAGTTTTTGCAGAGAAGATTAACATTTAAACTCACTTTAATAAAGTTTCTGCATTGGAAAGTTAAGTGTCCAGCATAACCACACTTTTTACATGCTGACCTCGACGTCTCCTTGCCGAATTTATTTATAACATCAGGATAATTTGCCATTTAAGACAAACGTGATTTGATCTTATAGAAAATGCTAGAACAGTAGAACACTGTAAAAAAGAAATCAACTTGTTTCTTTTGACGTCGACACAACCAAACAAACATATAACGTTCCGTTCCGCGCGACCATGTATGACGCGTCAACTTTGTTGCATTAAAAAAATATTATTGTTAGAAACACGCCTAACGGGACATTTCGAAATTGCATTATTTTTGAATAAATTGTACAAGAGCAATAAACGAACCAAATTATTAAGGAAAATTCCATCTAAATATTATTTCTTGACAGTTTACAATGCAAAAACGAATCGTTGCGACACTGCGTTTCTTTACACGCATTTTTGCTAGCATCCCTGATTATTGATGTTTATTTAAATAAAAATCACCTTTTTAATTATTTTTGCAGAAACCATGATATAATAAGCAATCAATATACAATGAAATTCAGCTAGTGAGTGCAATGTTACAAAATGGCAGAGTTCCTACCGCTATGCGATGTTCTTTTCAACGTGATTTCGCTGGCGGGCTACTTCTGCGATGTCGTATTCGACGTCGTAATGGGTTACGCTTTACTTGAGAGAGGGTACAAGGGGTCGTTTGCAGCCGCTATATCCATTGTCATCACTTCACTACTGATATCACAGGTTAGTTAAAATGTATTTTAAGCTTAAGTACTTAGATCCGAACAAACTATATCGACCCACCTGATGTTAGGTGACGGTGGATTCTAATTAAGAAGATAACTATAGCTCCACGCGGTAGGGGATGAGGTCGGGGTACAGAACTTTTATGCGACGCACGAATGATACCCTGATATCGCAAGCATCTATAGCAGGGATGGGCAACCCATGGCCCTCGGCCATCTCTTGCCTTCGAATGGTTGAAATCCGGCCCGCGACCACCAAACTAAAATAGAAGGTTCTCACCAAAAGGTTTTTTTTGTACATGTTTTGATTAGGATCAAAAAACCAGTGAATATGTATGAGATGCTACAGAAATAACTGTGTTCGTTATCCTGCAGTCGTTTTTAATTAGTATAATTTTGTTATGTAAAAAAAATGGCAATATTGTTTTTACTAACTTATAAGTGTTCCATGCGTTACCTTAGTAGTACTAGAGAATGAAATAAAACCAGATAAATATGTATTTACATTCATTATTTATAATCAAGAAATAAATCTTAAACAAAATGTAAAATTTAAAATTCAATATTGTTAAATGTTACACTTCTATAACTTCATCGTCGTTCACAGACGCCGACGCTTCTGTCGATGAAGCCGATGTCGAAGCTGAAGATGTTTGGTTGTGGTTGTAGTGAATTTTTGAAAGAGTATATTGTGTTTTTTCAATGATATCTTTTGATTGCCGGATAGAATTTGCATTTTTTGTTTGTACTTTTCTGTTTCAGCATGTCTTCTCTACTACTTTTGCTAATAATTCTGCTTTACAAAATGTACAAAACGCCTTCGCATCAACACCTGCTAAAGGTTTAAGCCAATTTGGAATTCGTCGAGTGATTCCCATTCTTTTCTATACTTTTGTATGTAATTCTTTTTCTTGAATAGAATTTCCATAATAACATATAATTGAATACTCTAAACATACAGCTTCAGGAGTTCATACACTGTTACAAATGTTTCTATCAAATCAAACTTTTACACTTTTTAACAACACAATTGGCGTTCATTGTGTTGTTGTTAAGTGTCTAATTCATGAAACAGAATGAACGATTATAGGAAGCCCAAAACAGTCAAACGCGTGTAGGAATTGTCACAGAGTAAGCATAGAACATTATGAAATTTCGGAAAGTTAGGGGATTTCCCCCTTACAAATATGTTGCTAGATTTCATGTAAAAAAACCACTAAAAAACACTAAAAAAAATATACCCGCTAGATAATGAAAATATACCACTAGAAGCCGTGAAAAAGCACCAGTTCTGGTGGAAAAACCACCAAGGTGGCAACACTGGGCGCCTGTCGCGTACGCATGGAAACGTTTCTATTGGCATTGTACGTGCGTGACGCGTAGCCATGTTTGCCAACCGTAGATTTTTTTTCTTCGTATTTATTTAGCTAGAAATCTCGTAATCTGGCCACCATAGACTATAAATAAAATGTTTCTTTAGATTCAAACATCTAGCAGTTAAATGCTTAAAATGAAAATTGTAATAAACATAGTCTGGTTCGGATACTTACGATTTATGCTCCAACATGTTGCCTACAATGAAAAATCATATTATAAATTTATCTGACAAAATCTCGTACATAATTGTACGAGATGTGTAGTGTCCTCGTACCTCGTACGGAAGACCAGAAATCTCGTATTTGTACGAGAATTCTCATACGGTTGGCAACCCTGGGCGTAGCTAGAGATTTTTCGTGGGGCGTATTTTAAAATCTGGCGCCTAGGGCCACTTCTGCACTTGCAATTTGCACCCCTTAGTATATCTCAAATCTAAATATAGATCTGTAACGAATGCCTTTATATCCTCGCAGCAGCTCAGCCGCCCCTCTAGGATTTTTCCTAAGCTAAGCAGCCGTCCAGTTAAACTTACATTCCTTTAAAAAATAATTTTCACATTGTATAAATGAAATGTAACTCAATTTCTATAGTGGGCATCTCCCACCCTTGCTAGCTACACCCATGCTCCCAGTGTTGCTATCAAGTTTGAAAGAGTTACCGTTTTCGATACAAGAGATTGGCGTTATTTTAAATAACAATCATGATTTTGCCGTATTACCTAATTTTATTTATTAAAATTTATATTCCGTATGCCATATAATCTGAAATTATGAGCTCAAATTGCCGTATATTACGGTAATTGCCGTATCAATGGCAACGCTGCATGCTCCATGCGCTGCTTTAGCCTTGTTTTAGAACCCAGTTTAATTTATCGTTTTTATATTTACGACGTACGTGGCCGAGTGATTTCGTGCGGGTTCGAATCCCGGTGGGGGCAAATGTTTGTGTGATGAATACGAGCATTTTCACTCCAGTCATGGATATTTAATACGTATTTCTATTTATATATACTTATATCTGTACAGTATATGTAATCTATCCGTTACCCTAGCATCCCATAACACAAGCTTTACAGTGCTTACTTTGGGACTAGGCTAATTGGTGTGAGTGTTGAAAATATTTAATACTGCCGCCGCCTATATTGTGTACGTTCTGTCTATCATGTTTTAATTTACTAGTATGTGTTTTTAATTTACTTGTATGTGTTGAATGGTGTAAATTACAATAAAGAATTTTATTATTATTACTTAATAATAATTTAATGTAATTTAATCTTAAATTAATTTTCATATTGTACGAATGAAATGAAACTCAATTTCTATAGTGGCCATCTCCCACCCTTGCTAGCTACGCCCATGATCCGTGCGCTACTTAAGCCTTGGTTTCAGCTTCGATGTCACGAAGCGAGTTTAGAAGCTACAAGCTAGCGAGTTTGCTAGCAGCTTGTAACTCGCCCCGTGTCATCGAGGCTTTAGAACCCAATTTACTTTATCGTTTTAATTATATTTTGCACGTTAACTTGAACCACGGCAGGTGCTCTCCCTCCGCTGGTACCTGCACGTGTGGTGGGCCAGCGAGGGCCGCAAGGGTAGGCCGCCGTGGCTGCCCATCCTGCTGCACTGCCTGCAGCTGGGCGTGCTGTGGCGGTACGCACGGCTCCTGGTGCCCGTCGAATTGAGGCGGGTGAAGCATCAAGTCAGAGACTTGTGTAAGTCCACGATTTAATTACTTGAACCAAAGCAACACCAGCAACTATCTCCTAGAAGTCATAACTAAGTCTATTTAGCTGTAGACTCCAGATGCTCTCCAATTCGGAAAGAAAACGATGTTTCTAAGAGGACAAGCGGCCCGCCCTCGCTTCGCTTCGGTGTAGAGCTGAAGTGTAGACTACAGTTTTTGTTTTCAGGCTTGTATTATACACAATGACATTCATCTATGATTCTTCTTATACCTGCATGCAAAGTCTCAGCCCGATCGGTTTAAAATTGACAAAGTTTCATACAAATTTTCATTCCCTATGTTATCCCCTTGGGAGTAGAATTGATCAAAATCCTTTCTTAGCGAATGCCTACGTCATAACATCTACATGCATGCATGCCAAATTTGCAGCCCGATCCGTCCAGTGGTTTGGGCTGTGCGTTGATAGATCACTATGTCAGCCGGTCACCTTTGAGTTTTATATATATAGATAAAGGCCTTTAAAAAAATCCAATTCATTATATTATCAATCTACCTTCAAGTATAAATAAATACTACTATAGGTTTTGTTGTCAGGCATGCTGCGGCTAGTGCACGCGTTCTGCGAGGCGGCGCCGATGCTGCTGCTGCAGCTGCACATCCTGTTCCGGGAGCCGCGCGCCGACGCCGAGCCCGGCGACCTGTCCCCAGCACTGGAGCCCAGCATCGACGAGCCCACAGGTTACCATGGTTACCGCTACCCTGAGTACTCACATTAGGGGTCAAATACTGTTCCGGGAGCCGACCTCGGGCCCGCACTGGAGCCCAGCATCGATGAGCCCACAGGTTACTGCAGAACACAGAAAGAAGTTGGAATGGCCTTGTGGGTGGGGCAAGCGCGCCACGATTATGTGTGAGCAAGTGCTCATATTTTGATCAAACCTTGATTCTGATTGCGTCGTCGCTGTTGGTTGTGAGCGCTGATTGGGTTGTTTGATCTATTAGGTGGAAGTGTAGTGGGGGCGAGCCGATGATAGCGATTCCCGTACAAACGGTCTGTTAGCACCATTCTTATCCCTTTCTGTGTTCTGTGAAGGTTAGGTTAGGTGGTCACATCCTATTCCTAGAGCTAATCTCGAGCCCGCACTAGAGCCCAGCATCGACACAGGTTACCATGGTTACCGTCTCCCTTAAGTGCTTATATCAAGGAGTCTGCAAGCGACGCAGTCCAACCTCGAGTCCAGCATCGACGAGCCTCCGGGTCCAAACTGAGTACTTAGATAATGAAGTCTAAATTGAAGACAAGGAGCTCGATGGCGCAAGTGTTTAGCGCGTTCGGCTGCGATCGTTGTAATTAAGCAACTTTCACAGTGGTCGGTCATTGGATGGGTGACCAAAAATTACTATCACGAGCCCCTCCGTGCTTCGAAAGGCACGTTAAGCCGTCGGTCCCGGCTACATCTGCAGTCGTTAGCACCCACCAATCCGCACTGGCCCCGCGTGGTGGATCAGGGCCCAATCTCCCTATTCCATCCATAGGGAAGACCTGTGCCCCAGCAGTGGGGACATTAATAGGCTGATTATGAAATTGAAGACATTATATTACACATTTCATCTAAAAACGTTTTTTTTGTGTGCGTTGCTAAAGCGTACTTTGCATGTAGATTACCTTCCGTCCATTTTGTGCTGCAGGTTTTTTCATGAATAATATAATCTGCTGAACTAATGTATTAACGATTTGTCATTCTGTATGCACAGCCAACAAGGCGTTCGCGGAGCTGAACGTGATCTCCGCGTCGCTGTCGCTGTTCTCGGTGTGCTGGGCGCTGGCCAGCTTCAGCAAGAACGTGCGCCTCCAGAACGTGCACCGCCTCGTGCTCACCTGGCTCGGGGTCATCTTCCAGGTGATAATTCATCTTATACTTGTTTATTTATTTTTGACTAGTGGCCCGCCCTCGCTTCGCTTCGGTGTAGAGCTGTAGTGTAAACTATACTTTTTGTTCTCAGGCTTGTGCTATAAAGAATGACTTTATTTATATAATTACACGTGTTATTGTGAGTCAACCATAAAAGATAGACATATGCTGTTGCGGGATATTTTTTAGACAATTTTATCCTTACACGCCTGAATAGCTCGCAGATTGCAGAATTTTTTCAGACTTAAATGACATTTATCGTTATATTTTGGACAATTCACACAATATCTTTATAAATTATAGCCTATGTGTTATTCTGATCTATAAGCTACATTACTGTAAAGTTTCATTAAAATCCGTTTAGTAGTTTTTGCGTGAAAGAGGAACAAACATCCATCCATACATCCATCCAAACAAACTTTCGCCTTTATAATATTAAGTAAGGATGTACGCGTTGTACACTTTTTTTTTGTATGGGTAAAAAATGTTAAACTCGCGTCAGGTTAAACACGTGGGCTGATCGCATCATGACACACAATAAAATTGGAAAGGTAGTGCGAAACATAGTGATATTTTATTTTACCGTATTATAATAATAAGTCTCCATCTAGGACGTCCACGTGGCAGCTTTATTGCGAAGAAAATGCATTTTTTTTACTAAGTGCGCTTAAACGTGATTAATGTAAGTTGATTTTTCTAAGAGATAAACTTATTTATTAAATATAAATTGTCATGTTTGTGTACGATAGCGCAATAAATAAATATTGTATTCTACCACATACGTTTACTTTTATATATATATACTGATAATACTACGTACTTTGAGGAGCTCGATGGCGCAAGTGGTTAGCGCGTTCCGCAGCGATCGTTGAATTCAAGCAACTTTCGCAGTGGTCGGTCATTGGATGGGTGACCATAATTTACTATCTCGAGCTCCTCCGTGTTTCGGAAGGCACGTTAAGCCGTTAGTCCCGGCTGCATCTGCAGTCGTTAGCACCCACCAACCCGCACTGGGCCCGCGTGGTGGGTCATGGCCCAATCTCCCTATTCCATCCATAGGGAAGCCTGTGCCCCAGCAGTGGGGACATTAATAGGCTGATGATGATGATGACTACGTACTTTTATACTGATAATTAAAGCAATTCGTGCAAAATTATTACCTAACCATTCCAAAATATCAAAAATGCACAACGTTAATATTCAAGTTTGCACTTCTGCCGGCACTCCCGGAGTGCAACCCGTTGTTTTTTTTATTTTTTTTGTATATTGTCAGGTAGGCATATGACTCTACTCTACCTGATGTTAAGTGGTGATAAAGTCCAAACGCGAAGATAACTGGTACAGCAGTTATAAACTGCCACACCAACCATCCTAACCTAGCCGGCCTGCAGAAATGCTTCTTCACGCCTCTCTTAAAGGACCTCAGATTGTAGATTGTAAGAGGGGAAACACGAATTAATTTTGCTATCTTGAATAAAAAAAAACGAGCGAGCCTTACAGTAGTCGCGTATGATGTGTAACATTTGAAACCTCACCTTCTATAAGTAAAAAAAGAAATAAAACCTACTACAAAAGGAATAAGCCATTTGAACATTATGTTCTGAAATTAAATCAAATTGCGGGCGCTTTCGCGACTTCCTGTTAAACACTTCGTCCCATTTCACGAAATCACTCCCACAAATTGCAGGAAAGCAAGTGGAAAGATGTTACACACCAATAATTGAAAAAAACCATACTAAGTCCACGCTGTAATAAGGATTATTTTTTAGTTCCTATGGCGGCTGGGGACAGTATCGGCGCGCGTATGCGCTCTCACAGTGTATGCTCTAGTCTACGAATACTGGGTGTTTCTAGTTATAGGTGAGTATCACATTATCTGCTACATGAATATACTTATCCCATTATAGCTATTAACGGAATTGTTACCATGTACCTTGTTTTTTATGAGTCTCCGATATTTCGGCACTGTTGCAAGCGCCATGATCACGGAGTAACTCAAGTAATTGCGGGTAGATGTTATTGGCAGACATATCGGTCTACCCTCTGACATCGTCTTTTACTGCGCTCCATACCCCTACCTCTGGTCACATTTTCACTATTTGCTCACCTGTTCCCGACACACAATACTCACAGTATCAGATCGTACATGGTAACAATCCCGTTAAGAGCTATAATGTTAGTGACCATGAAAGTTTAAAATAATATGCTTATCCAACACCTGCTTGACGACGCTTCGGGTAGTAAAATCGGAAATAGTACGCCCTGCATCTACTGTTTTTTCTTGTAGCTCTGTCCATCTAAAGCTTTTTAATAGAAAGCTTCCCGATTTTTAAAAATCGGACCTGGCAGGTTTTTAAAAATTGGGTCTGTACGAGCAAGCTACGTACATTTCGCCCGCTCATCATTTTACTAATTGACCTTATTTTATTATTTTCAATAATCGTCAATTACTTACAAGTTAGTTCGCAATTAACGCAAAAAAAACACAAGCCTTATAGTGCTTACTTTGGGGCTAGGCTAATTGGTGTGTGTCGGAAAAAAAAAAAAAAAAAAATAGCTATCAAGTATCAATATCAATTAGTATTGTTTTAAGTTATTGTTTAGTTACTAAAATATACTTTATTATCAAGTTATCAAGTTTATCATTTTATCAGTATCTTAGTTTCGGTACATCCCGAACAGGGTCTGTACAGAAACGTATAAACGAAACGAGCCCGCACCGACCCGGTGAGAAAGGCGCTATAGGCATGTAGGAAATATTGATTTATTAATATTTTGATGTGCTCTCCTATCAGGTCTTCACTGGGTGTCAATGTTCCTATGGCTGATCTCTCCCAAGAACGCGTTCCACGGCGAACGGATCAGCCGCCGAAGGAAGGCTTACCTCTCTACCCTCATTGCTTTCGTCTACATCTTCGCCTACGTCAATCTGCAGGAGCTCAACCATAGGCAGAAAATGGTGAGTCTTGTGGACAACTTTCTAGCATCAAATATGTGAGCAAAGATTTGATCACTCCTTTAAGCTCACAGTTTTTAAATAGACTTCACACAACATTGAAGAATATTTGGTCGACACAGTTTGCTCATATTATTTATATGCGTGTAATTATTTAGAAATTAGTACTTACTACACGTGCAAGTTAATGAACAAAATCAGCCAAACGAAGACGTGAATGGAATTTTGAAATGTATAAAGCGATTCAAATAAGAATAGGAAAGCCAATGACCTCCATCTGTCAAAGGTCGCTTGAAAAATACGGTTTGCAAAAAAAATTTGGAACCCTTTATTAGCACTCTGCTACTTCTAGAATAAAAACCAAACATTTGTAAACAAACAATAACAAATATTAATATTCAATATTGTTAATTATTTTTTTAATTTTTTGAGCTTTGGCTATGACTGTTTGATAACCTAAATCGTCAACCAAATGTCAATTTAAGTTGCGTTCATTAAGTCAATTTAAAACTTTCGTTTACATAAACGATGCATGTTCGTATGTGACCTCGCGATAATATATGATTATTCATAACTACACCGGCGTTAATGCAGAGATGAGCGGAATTGAAGAGCTAGAATTTGTTTAATTTTTTTTTTCTCACACAGTCTTAATATATAAATATTATTAAAAATCGGTTGGTCTCTTTTTCTAACTTAATAAATAATTTAATTAAAAAGTCTGATTTTTTTTCTCACCTAATCTTAGTAAATAAGTTTTAGTAAATAAAAACGTTTTTTTGCTCACTCTACCTATTTTGTTTGAATTGACAGCTATGACGTCAGAATATGGCGCCCAGTCGGTCCTATTCTTAGTTGAATCGCATTATATCATTAGGTTGTTTAATAAATCGCACGTCAGCGTCTGCGCGTCGCGCTTCGCGCTCTTGCATTGCGCAGACGGGTAAAAAGAACGTTAATGGTTTGATTTGGGCATGAATGTTTAAACTTAAAACTAAATATAACATTAGTCACTTCTCTTCACTCAGTGAAGTTCGGTTCGGTTACTACAAAACGAAGTAACTCACTGGCCAAAGACTGGTAAAAATGTTTATTTTGTAGGTCAGAGGGTTGATTTCACATTTTCCTTTTTTTCTCCTTTATCGTATTTTCTCCAAGTATCGAATATAATTTATAAAAGGGAAAAAGTTCATTTTATACGATCGTATAAGGTCGTATGTGCGAAATAACATTTTATGATGGTTTAAGGTGACGTTCTACTGCGTGATGTGCGTGGAGAACTGGGTGCTTGTGATGGCCTGGTGGTGGGCCGGCAGGGAGCCCCACCCCGCGCCCGTGGCTGCAGCCGCTGCGGCATCCGCTGCGGCCGGCCTCGCCTTCATGCTGCTGTACTATAGGTGAGGGGGGGGGGGGCCTCTATGACCCGCGCCCGTCGCTGCAGCCGCTGCGGCATCCGCTGCGGCCGGCCTCGCCTTCATGCTGCTGTACTATAGGTGAGGGGGGGGGGGGCCTCTATGACCCGCGCCCGTCGCTGCAGCCGCTGCGGCATCCGCTGCGGCCGGCCTCGCCTTCATGCTGCTGTACTATAGGTGAGGGGGGGGGGGGCCTCTATGACCCGCGCCCGTCGCTGCAGCCGCTGCGGCATCCGCTGCGGCCGGCCTCGCCTTCATGCTGCTGTACTATAGGTGAGGGGGGGGGGGCCTCTATGACCCGCGCCCGTCGCTGCAGCCGCTGCGGCATCCGCTGCGGCCGGCCTCGCCTTCATGCTGCTGTACTATAGGTGAGGGGGGGGGGGGCCTCTATGACCCGCGCCCGTCGCTGCAGCCGCTGCGGCATCCGCTGCGGCCGGCCTCGCCTTCATGCTGCTGTACTATAGGTGAGGGGGGGGGGGGGGGGGGGCTCTATGACCCGCGCCCGTGGCTGCAGCCGCTGCGGCATCCGCTGCGGCCGGCCTCGCCTTCATGCTGCTGTACTATAGGTGGGGGGGGGGGGGGGGCTCTATGACCCGCGCCCGTGGCTGCAGCCGCTGCGGCATCCGCTGCGGCCGGCCTCGCCTTCATGCTGCTGTACTATAGGTGAGGGGGGGGGGGGGCCTCTATGACCCCGCCCGTCGCTGCAGCCGCTGCGGCATCCGCTGCGGCCGGCCTCGCCTTCATGCTGCTGTACTATAGGTGAGGGGGGGGGGGGCCTCTATGACCCGCGCCCGTCGCTGCAGCCGCTGCGGCATCCGCTGCGGCCGGCCTCGCCTTCATGCTGCTGTACTATAGGTGAGGGGGGGGGGGGGCCTCTTGACCCGCGCCCGTCGCTGCAGCCGCTGCGGCATCCGCTGCGGCCGGCCTCGCCTTCATGCTGCTGTACTATAGGTGAGGGGGGGGGGGGGGGGGTCTATGACCCGCGCCCGTGGCTGCAGCCGCTGCGGCATCCGCTGCGGCCGGCCTCGCCTTCATGCTGCTGTACTATAGGTGGGGGGGGGGGGGGGGGGCTCTATGACCCGCGCCCGTGGCTGCAGCCGCTGCGGCATCCGCTGCGGCCGGCCTCGCCTTCATGCTGCTGTACTATAGGTGAGGGGGGGGGGGGGCCTCTATGACCCGCGCCCGTCGCTGCAGCCGCTGCGGCATCCGCTGCGGCCGGCCTCGCCTTCATGCTGCTGTACTATAGGTGAGGGGGGGGGGGGGGCTCTATGACCCGCGCCCGTGGCTGCAGCCGCTGCGGCATCCGCTGCGGCCGGCCTCGCCTTGATGCTGCTGTACTATAGGTGAGGGGGGGGGGGGGGGGCTCTATGACCCGCGCCCGTGGCTGCAGCCGCTGCGACATCCGCTGCGGCCGGCCTCGCCTTCATACTGCTATAAATAAAAACTAAAATAAAATGTGTTTCGCGGTAACCACGTTAAGCCATTGGCTGCGGCTGCTTCTGCAATCGTTAGCACACACTAATCTGCATTGGGCAGCAGCAGGCATGATAAAAAGCCGATCTCATATTCCACTCATAGAGAAAGGCATAGAGTAAGGCCAGAGCTGTTTCTCTAGGGCCAAGAGGACCATGGCCTAGGCCGGCAGGCTGCGAGGGTGCGGCAGAAACCATAGAAAAGCATTCGTTACCGCCCTATATTTTGATTAGATTTACTATTTCTAGGGGGAAGGGAGGGGATCGCAAATCTAAAATCAGAAACATATTAACGTGTCGTGACGTGTCGTGGCGTATAGGTTTCATACATTTATTATAGGGGAGAAAGAGAGAGAGAGGTTAGAGTCGACACGACACGTAAATATGTCTCTAACCATAGTAAATGTATGAAACCGATGTGCTTCTGGCGCGCCACAACACGACACGACACGACACTTCAATATATTTCTGGCTTTAATTGGCCCGGGGCGCACAGATTTCAAAATACTGCCCTACGTAAAGCCTGTGCCTCGGCAGTGGGTACAATAGTAGACTGATCGCGAATGGCCGTTAACTTATATATTTATCTTTTTGTTCACTCTTTCTACAGATACTTTCATGTTAGAAGACTCGGTTACATGCTGAGCGAGAACAAACAGGGTACAAACAGCACCAATGCTTCGTCGCAGAACAAAAATGGTCAGTATAAAATTAAGGTCCAACTCTAACGATATTAAATACCCTAGATACACCAACACGAACAAAATCGTGCCCGAAACCTGTCCCAAAGGTACATTGAACTATCCACGGAGCTCTGTAAGATGATCGCGTAGTCAAAAACATATAAGGCATTATTTAAATATTGAAAGTAACCTTTAATACATACCAGGGATGTTGCGAACATTCGCATCTGCATCCGCAAATGCGGAACATCCGCATTGATTTGGACATCTGCATCTGCTTCCGCATCCGCATTAATCAATGCGAATGTTTATGCGGACGCGAATATTATACAAGTAGCGACAAGAAAGAAATTGGGCGGGGCCGGTGATTGACTCGTGCCGGTCGCACGTGACAATAACCAATGGGAGCGAAGAAATTGGTGACAAGATTCGACACGTTTGTTTGTTCTAGCTAGTGCATCATTTGTTTCTTGCAAGTGAATAAATATTACGTGTTTGTTTGCGCTGTGATGTGAAAGTGAACTACTTATCGTATCATAAAGATAGATAGGTATTTTTAATGTTGTTGTGATACAGTATTGATTTTATTTAAGACTAATATCCATAAGATCACAAGGTAAATTCTATTATATTACGCCGGTAATACGTTTTATTAAAAAAAAATTATCGTTTTATGACGAAATTCGTTATTTTACCAGTGTGATTCCCGTTATTGATAGTTTATCTAACTATTTAGTCAACAATGTCACCACCGACCAAAAGTAATGTATGGGATTATTTTGAACCAAATATATATAACCATAATATCTTATACATCCGCATCTGCATCCGCGGATGTGAGCCTGCTAAACTCCGCATCCGCATCCGTATCCGCGGATGTGAAAATATCGGCATCTGCAACATCCCTGATACATACTGTCTTAAATAAAACGCATGCGTCAAGGACTTCTGACAGTTCGAAATGCAAGCTCGTAAAATTTTACGACTTATTGCTATATGCGGAAGAATTTAGACCTTAGTTCTTTGAGTATACGCGCAATTCTGAACGCGCTGTTAGCAATATAGCAGGCACGGACCGCGAGGAAAAGAGACGGCTATATGGCGACGTATAACCGACCATGCATTTGAATATCACTAATATTTTATATTAAATCAGTTTATAGTAAGTACTTATTAGATCAAAATTTACTTCAAATGCGTTAAATTAACAAACATTGACTAGATACCTGTCGAAAAAACGACACTTTTCGTACTCTATGTATTATTTTCTCATTTTTTCGCTAAGCTCTGTGGCATCTTGACCTTGTAACGGTCCGCGCGTGACTGTGAACCAAGAAGTGCTTGAGTGGAGTTCAAGCACTTCTTGATTGGTACACATTTTGAGCGCTCGTCGTGTATCTAGAGTATTTAATATCGTTGTCCTACTCCTAGTCTGAGCTACTGCACGCACCAAAGATCGAGTCATCATCGCATTGTCTCAATAACGCTACCCTTATCATTTATATTGTTACGTGTCGGGATGGGGTCCGAAATTATATGCCAGTTCACGCTTAACAGTACTTTATTCACCATTATTACTTGCATTTGATCGCCTTTGTATTCGTTCCGAAATCGCTGTTGAAACTCGACTGTCGCTGCGCGGCGCCGATCGCGCTTATATACGCCTATCGACGCGTTCTAGAAAAGCCCTGTTAAATTGAGAGTTAACTAGCACCCGCGAGTGTGTAGAACCTACTTATACCTACGTAGGTAACGCGCAGAAGTTGTAAACAACTGCAGATGTCGTTGCACTTTCTCCTTTACGCCGAACTGCATAAGGCTCATAATGGAATGAGCCTCACCACTCGACCTTTATCGCGATCCGCGGTGTTCTGGTTAATTCTGTTTTTAGTATTTTCGCGGTTTTGTTTTGAGAGCGTTTGTGACACTATTTTTATTTACATGTGTAGATATCCTGCTTTTTTATGTAAAAGAGTGGTAAACAAGCGTCTTATTTGTGGAAGGTAGTTGTAAATAATGAAATGTTTGTTCACAGGCAAGCCATCGCAGACGGACAACGCCGCTATACCAGGGGTGTTTAACTGTAGATTTTCTAACCCCGTTAGTAATAGGTAAACATATGTTCTCTGTATTCTTATACCTTTGGTTGCTGCCTGCCCTGCTGGGTATTTCAATTTAATTAAAACAAAATTCCTTTACCATCATTATATCTATACATTGTAATTCTCATAATACTCTTTCAATTAAATCCATTTTAAAATGTGGCTTTAGAAATTTGAGGTCATTGATAAATTGTAAATATTTTTAAGTAACCAAGCTTATCACTCCGGTGCTTATTGTGGCTCCTCAATCATATTTGTTGTGTCCACCACAGCGCAGCTAACGGCCTTAAGAATAAAAAGCGTTACTTACTTCATACCTTCTCCCGCTGCGCCCTTAAGAGGGGAGACGGGCAATGTTTTTCCCATACAAAAGTTCTCGACTGATTACTCCTTGATTTTTATCACTAAAGTAATGATTTTATACATAAAATATAATTTTACTCATTTTGTGCTCCTATGCCTTCGATAAATTGTGTTTTAAAAAAACTAGAAGCCTTCAAAAATGTCAATAATAAACATTTTTTTATTACCACTAAAGACGTGTAGTGTAGAGATTCAATAAGCATTTACACAAAAGCAAAACATTGAAGACTAGTATAACTACCTTTTTTTCTATGTGTAAAATTTCTTTTACATATATCTAATTTTCGAGGAGGAAATAGCCGAGAGCCAAACTTTGAATTTACCAATTTTTATACGCAATTTTCAGCGTTAGCTCACGGTTTTTGGCAATGTGCGACAGCAATCGAATCAATCAAACAATTGATGCATATTTCAATTAAGCTTTAAGTTTTTTAAGCTGACGACCTCCGTGGCCGAGTGGTTTGTACGCCGGGTTTCATGGTGGTGGTTCCGACTCGAGAGGTCCCGGGTTCGAATCCCGGTGGGGGCCGATGTTTGTGTGATGAATTCGAGCATTTGTACTCCAGTCATGGATGTTTAATATGTATTTCTATATAAATATACTTATATATGTACAATATATGTATGGTATCCGTTACCCTAGCATTCCATAACACAAGCCTTACAGTGCTTACTTTGGGGCTAGGCTATTGGTGTGAGTGTAAAAAAAAGGATCACAGGTTGTAAGAAAGAGAGAACACGTGAGCAGGCAGAGCAATTCCATTTACGGATACTGCGACAAAGAAATGAGTCACCATATTTCTTTGCACGCGTTGGAATTGCGCAGCAAGTTCTGTTTAACCATAACGGTTAAACAGAACTTGCTGCGCAAATTATGCCCCTCACAGCGCAGCGAACGGCCGTAAGAAGAAGAAGCCCACTTCATTCGTGCCTCCGCCCGCCGCACCAGCACCCGCGCCCGCGCCCGCGTCGACCCCCGCCCCCGCGCCTGCCGCCTTCTGGCGCCGCCCGCTGCCAGCTGGCGCTGCTCATAACCATCACGTAAGAATAATAGTAGACACACACACACACATTATCTGTATATATACAGGATGTTACAAAAATACAAATAAAGCTTGAAGGGCGTTGAAATACATCATATAAGGGGTCTTCTTTAATTTCCTTAAAATATTTGCATTAAGTTTTAACTTTTTATAAAAACAGATTTTTTTAATGATCCTCGAACTAGTGACGTGTCTTAAAATGACCGATATATTTATTAATTGTTAAAAATAACTGTTTATTTTTATGATTACATTTAGTTTATATAAATAGTAAAAACTTCATGCAAATATTTTAAGAAAAATAGAGAAGACTCCTTGTATGATGTACTTCAACGCCCTTCAAGCTTTATTCGTATTTTTGTAACACCCTGTATATGTCAGTTTCTTGTCCTTTTCATTTAATTTTGAATGTAACGGATTTATAATGCCATATGTGCTAAGGGGATTGGCGCTGTATGCCGTAATACAACATTTTGCCTAGCTCGGCAGCAGATAAATATGTAGTTATGTTAGAGATATTAGTAGGTACTGTTTTAGCCTTATAAGTTAAATTGTGAATCAACTCTTACTGGAAATAAATTATTATTATTAAAATAAGTATTATCGGTCCATAGACACACCTATTACATACAAGGTATGACTATTTTTAACCGACTTCAAAAAAAGAGGTTCTGTGTTCGACTGTACACATATATATATTTTTATGTATGTTCACCGATTTCTCCGTCAATTGTGGACCGATTTCCAAAATCCTTTTTTTTACGATAGAGTGCGCTTCCGAGGTAATCCCATTCATTGGAACCAAGTCGGGATCTGATGGTGGAATCCGGGGAAATCGAGGGAAACCTTCAAAGTTGCATCTTCACCGATTTCTCCGTCAATTTTGGACCGATTTCCTAAATTCTTTTTTTATTTCTCTTATGTCTATCAGGTAGATCACCAAATAGTATTGGGCCCATATTTTTCCTTTTTTTCACATAATCAAAACGTTACAGAGATATATTGATTTGAACTGTCGCATTACGTCACGTCTTGGTGCAATTTTTACTTATAAGTGACGTTGCGCGCCCCCACTCCCAAATAATGACGAACTTTATAATTTTTTGGTTAATTAACAAAATGAAAAATGTGCCCATTATTTTTTGATAATCTGACGGATTAGAATAGAATTTCGTTTACTTTACCCTGTCATCATCCCTATTGGGTATTTTCAATCGTAACATCTACTTTAGCTTATAGGAATAGTATCACTGAATAACGTTTAATATAGACGGAGGAGCTAGATAGCGCCAGTGGTTAACGCGTTCGGCTGCGATCGTTAAAGTTGAGCAACTTTCGCAGTGGTCGGTCATTGGATGGGTGACCAAAAATGTACTATCTCAAGTTCCTCCGTGCTTCGCAAGGCACGTTAAGCCGTTGGTTCCGGCTGCATCTGCAGTCGTTAGCACCCACCAAACCGCACTGGGCCCGCGTGATGGGTCATGGCCCAATCTCCCTAATCCATCCATAGGGAAGGATATACCAGCAGTGGGGACATTAATAGGCTGATGATGATGATACTAACGTATACTATATCAATAATAAAATTTGAGTTATTTCAATTCACAAAGTTTAATTGATTAAAATATTTCTTTAAAAAATGGATGAAATTTACCTGCCTACCCCTCCAAGTAAAAGCACAAAGAATTGACTCTACAAAATCTGTTGACTGCCTTGGCTTTTATACAAAAAAGTAAATAATTGACGCATTCTATATATTTTCTGAACCCAGCATTGTATAGAGACTGAAATGACTAAAAAACTGTACAAAACTTCTGAAATAAAATAAAACTTATCCACCTTATTTAAACGTAAATCCAGGGAGGATCATCAGAGAACGAGGGCTCAAGCGTCGGCTCCCGAGTCAACATCCAGCAGAAACTACAAGAGAAGAAGCAGAAACAACTCGCCGAACTCCGGGTGATAGAGGAAGAGATCAAACAAGGCAAACTGGCAAAAACCACGCCCGTCGCCGCCGAAGAAATCTACAGTAGCCTCCAACGACAACCTATCCCCAGAGCGAAGACCCACGCCGATCCCCCAGCCTGGCCTAGCATAGAAATGACCCATTCCTACCAAAACTACCCCGTCCTACCCCACACCTGCAACGTCTACCCCACCTACACGGAAATCAAGCCGGAATACTCAGTGCAAAACTTTCAAAACGACACCGCGACGGAAATCAACGAGTTGAAACCACGAAGAATACAAAATAGATACGATAATGCGAGAACTTTCTACGAGAACCCAGCGAATGTGAGAACTGACGTCAATAGGCCACTAAGATCCCCAAATTATTTAGCTTTGGAGACGAGGACGTACGAAGCCAATAGCTGCGGAAGTCCAAGGAACGTAATGACAAACAGCCCGAGAAACTATTTGCCAGACGTTTCTAATACGTACGAATCAACGCCGCTGGATAAACCAAGGCTACAAACAGCGGTTTACGCTGAGAATCATACGATCGCAGAATATTTAGGCTACTGCGAGAACCAGTACTCCAAATTTGAAGCTAACGATGTAACGGCTTTGCATTCGCCTTTGAACGTCCAAGGCATAGACAATATGAGGAGTTACGAGTGCGGGCAATATGGGCAGAATTGTGAACGAATGTACGGCGGGTACCCAGGATTGGGGAAGAAAGAGCGAGACAGGAAGATGCAACGCTGTCGCACGCCGGAGATATTGCTGGCGCCGCATTATTTAGAAGGATGCAGTAGGCAGGTCTGCTGCCATTGGGGGCCGCCTTATACGTGAGTTTTATTCTATAAACTTTATCATTAACTTAAGTATGGACATGACGAGAATGCACCCTACCTTGTTTAGCCTAGTTTATCTTTATATCTATAGCTACATATAATAAAATGGTAGGAAAGTCAAAACTGCACTAATTGAATATTTTTTAATAGAATACTTAGCCAGAAAGCCAAAAATATAGTTTCTAGAATTTTTGTCTGTCTGTATGTATGTCCGGGATAAACTCAAAAAGTACTGCATGGATTTACTTCAAATACTAATATTGCTCTAAAACTGGATTTTGTTTATTTGTTTGGTTCTACGCGCTAGTTCATGGGGTTCATGACCCCCTCCCCTGGGCTGGGTACAGATGGACCCAGCCCAGGAGTGCTTGAACTCCACTCAAGCACTTCTTGGTTCACAGTCACGCGCGGACCGTTGTAAAGTCAAGATGCCACAGAGATCCGCGAAAAAATACGAAAATAATACTTAGAGTACGAAAAGTCTCATTTTTTCTACAGGTATCTTGTCAATGTTTGTTAATTTAACGGATTTGAAGCAAATTTTGATGTAATACTTACTATAAACTGATTTAATATAAAATATTTGTGATATTCAAATGCATGGTCGGTTATACGTCGCCATATAGCCGTCTCTTTTCCTCGCGGTCCGTGCCTGCTATATTGCTAACAGCGCGTTCAGAATTGCGCGTAAAGTCAAAGAACTAAGGTCTAAATTTTTCTGCATATAGCAATAAGTCGTAAAATTTTACGAGCGTGCATTTCGAACTGTCAGAAGTCCTTGACGCATGCGTTTTATTTAAGACCTTATACAGTACGTATTAAAGGTTACTTTCAATATTTAAATAATGCCTTATATTGATTTTGACTACGCGATCATCTTACGGAGCTCCGTGGATCGTTCAATGTACCTTTTGGACAGGTTTCGGGCACGATTTTGTTCGTGTTGGTGTATCTAGGGTATTTTTAATATCGGTGCACGAATGCCGTAACTTCCCTTTTTGTTTGAATGTAAGCCATTGTCCCATGTTCAGGAACAGGAAGAAGGAGGAGGGCGCGGCGGGCAGCAGCGGCGACGACTCGCCCGACACGCCGCGCCCGCCCAGCGACATCGACAGCCAGGTACAACATTAATTATAACAAACTAGCAAACCAGTGAACCAAATGTTCACCAAAAAAAAAAACGGGGATTGGAGGCTGAAAAGGGGGATTGGAGGATGAATGGGATTCGAGGGTGTTAAAGGGATTGTGGTGGATGATAATCAGAAATTGGTGGGTGATCGTGGGGATTGATCGGTGATAATAGGGGATTGGTGGGTGATAGTGGAGATTAATGGGTGAGGAAGTGGAGTGGGTCTGGGGAAACCCCTCTGGTAACTGGGCGGGCTGTGGCGTTTATCTCTTACGCGGCGAAGGGAAGCCAGACTGACACCGTAACGCGTTACGTAACGAAGCGGTTTACCCTCACATAAGAACTTACCACTTCAATAAAATAAATATTTCTTACCCTCATACCAATGAGGGCTACCGTTTTCTGCCTCACCAGATGGCGCCACTGTTGAGTGAGGTCCTAAATTGTAACTTTTAAAGTTTATTAATACGCACATGAAATCAAAGGTTACATTTAGATCGTATTTTAACACAAAAGAACCATATCCTAAACATAATAGGCCATGCCACAGTGACGCGCAGTTCCGTTTTATTCGGAAAAAATGGGAACATAATCATTTTTCTAAGCACAAATTTTTAATAACTGACATTCATTGCCACATAACTCATATTTGCCATAATTAAGCCGAATTGTTACCAATTATTCACAACATTATTTTAATTAGAAATAAACCCGCGTAGTCAACCAACAAGCAATAACATTTGACATTTCGGAGACCTCACGCTACACTAGCGGCTCTAGCGGCGGATTCATACGCGATAGCCCTCATTAACTTAGCCCAGGGATAGGCAAACTTTTTCCTTATCGTGCCAATATTTACTATTAACATCTATGGCGAATCAAGTTTTTACTCAGCGGGCCACTTACAATTTGAATCATAAATATTCAATATTTATAGAGTTACTAATAAATAATTTATGAAAATTTTACAAAATATTGTCAAAAAGCCTATTTACAATCGTACTCCGAGTGATATATTTACTAACCAAGTAATATTCGTGTACAGATCTCCTTACCTCGTTCGTATACACTACCGCGGGAGTTCCGCTACTGGAGGAGGAGGCCGCGACTCAGGGACACGCATGTGCCCAGCAATAACAGCAGTGACGGTAAGTATACAACACCTTGCCCACAGTAGTAAACATTAATTTATTAACTTAAAACCTCCTTTTACCAGGAAAGAACTATTCTTCCAAATAAAATGCCCCTGTGAAGTTTGCCACTTCTCTTAGTCTTATCAAAAGCATTAAAAAATAATTAATGAATTGGAATAGCGACATACATTATTTATAGAGATGGGCCGACTAGCCGCCGACTAGTCGGGAAAGACACCTATTCGGCATCGTTGATAGTCAGCTATTAATCGGCGACTACTCGGCAAAACATGCCGATTATAATCGAGTTTTAGAATTACGTAAAAACTATCATAGTTTTCGTAATTGTAAAACTCGTACTAAGGGTACTGTACTCAAGCCTAAATGCCTTACCCCCTTATTAATAAACAAGGAATAAGCTTAGACTAGTTACGCCGTGTTTTGTTCATAACACTCAAATGCCAATTGTCATTCATTGAACAGAGACAAAACATGAAGTAACTAATCCAAGCTTACTCTTCGTTTACTAATAAGGGGGTAAATGTTTATCTCTTCTTACAGGCGACGTAGACAGCGCAGACAACGAGTCTGATAGGCGCTCCAACTGCTCCGCGTCGCCGCAGCTGCAGCGCCGGCGCCCGCCGCGATACCACCCGCCCAAACCAGAGACAAAGCTTTAGCACACCCTACTCTTATTGCCAGAGTGGGCGCCAACCATACGCCCACAGAATGGATATTATTTTATTAGAATATTAACCCGCCCTGATTGCAATAACACCACGGTAGGCGTCTACTATAGAGAGCTGCCAGCCTTGTTACCACCTGCCAAACGAGACTAAGCTTTATGCCATTCTATTGATTCCATGTTGGGCGCCAACTATACGCATAGATGGACTGAACAGCTGTCAGCCCTGGTACCACTCGCCCAAGCCAGAGACAAAGCTTTAACCCGCCGTACTATTGATGCCAACCAGAGTGGGCGCCAATCAAACATTGAAGAAAATTGACTGAGCAATGCATGAAATTTCTTATAAATAGTCCGTATGTCGCCGCAGCTGCAGCGCCGCTACGACACCAAGGAATAAATTGTAATGACATATTCATAAGTGTGTGCATTCACCACTAGTCCTTATGTATTAGAAATACTAAAGTATTTCTTGACCGAACAGCCTAAATTTAGTAATATTTATGTAGCGAGATGTAACTGGTAATATCCCAAGCCAGAGACCAAGCTTCAAACATCCCTAACTGATATCCACTGATTCCACGGTGGGCGCCAACCATAAAAAAAAGGTCTGAGCAGCTGCCACTCCCGATACCACCTGCACAAGCCAGAGACTAAGCTATAACCCACTCTACTGTTAATGCCAGAATAGGCTCTAACCAACACCACCCACCACACGTAATAGATTGAGCAATTACTAACCCACGGTGCACCCGCCCAAACCCCGAGACCAAGCTATAACCTACTCTTCTACCTACTGACACTTACCCCACGGGGGGCGCCAACCATACTCTGAAGAGACTGGACTTGGTAATAAATATTGCATGAAATTGAAGATCAAGCGTACTGTAGTTCGCATTCGAATTTATTTACATTAACACAAACTAGAGGTCATTTTAGTCGAAGTAGCGGCAGTAGCCGAGAAAAAGCGATGGTGCAACCAAAATCTATACAAACTATTGTCCAGACGATCACTTCATCGCTTATCAGCTCAGTTTCATAGTTACAGTTAGTCAAGGAACGCTCAATCTATTATCCATTATATTAACCAACTTTGCCACCACATTGGGCGCCAATTATCAACCATCTTTATTTTCATGTCAAAGAAAATGCATCCCTTTAGCTCAATGTTAATAAGTAACCTAATTAATCCTGACAAAGTTCCTGTAACACTATCAGCGGCTTACATACTCCGTATCTAGTACAGTACCCTTAGCACGAACCATTATCGAATTCGAATAGTCTGCGAGTGCGAAATGTCATTGTCAAAAGTGTATTGATTTTTAGTTCTCGATACATACTTTGTGGCGCTGCTGTTCAAGTTTCCATACAAATTTTGACATTAACATTTCGCACACGCAAACGTTACGAATTCGATATTGGTTCGTGCTATACAGAACAGTGTGTAGGGAGTAGAAAGGTTCGTGGAATCATGAATTCGTGATTGACCCCTCTCTACGGCTCCACTGGCGAATCGATTTTATTTCGCCAGCATGTTAGGGGCCATCGTTTGTAAAAGAGGATGCAGTATGATTCCGCTTTAATTCTGATTTATTTTAAAAATATTAACACAGCGATACAACCCATTCTGCCTCTGGTAAAACTAGTTTGTCTAGTATAAAAATAGAATTGATTAAATATACTCATTTCAGTGGTCTCTAGATACCTTACTTGAAAAATGCTCACCGAAATTTTGTATTGAACTAAAAGCCGGAATAAAAACGATAAACCCCAATTAAATATTAGTATAAAACGACATATATTATTGTATAAATACTTTTTTGAACTAGGGCAATTTAGGTAAAATTTCAAGCTTTCCTTTAAAGTCATGTAAGTTATTGTACTTAATGATTTCCTTATACAGGGTTACAGGGAAAGTCGTACTGAATATTAAAGAACGTTATTATTCAGGTCATTTCTGATGGATTTGGTCCTATAATATGGTGTCCGAAACTTAACCGTTATGGAGATATTGGATATTAAAGATTTTTTAAAAAAATCCTATATTTTTGGGTTTTTGTCGATTTTTTTGAAACTAGAGCTCCAAAGGTCCGATTTTTTAATGTATCTAGTTAGAAGACATGTCAAGCAATAAAAATAATGAATAAAAACTGAACCTACTTCTAACGGCTTAAAAAAACTGCTCGATAACGTTTATAACTAAAGAATTTTCACCAAGTGTTCTTAACTTTGAAGCACTTTTCTAAAAAAAAATGTGTGGAACTTATTCTGCAAATAATTTTAAAAACTTCTACGTCTCTTTAGCTATTCAAAAAGGTATAACACTTGCTATTAAATTGGCAAAACATTGACCAAATAACAGTTATGGTAGCAGAGGGTAAATTTTTAGTTTGAGGTAAAAATAGCAAAAATACCTAAATAAAACCAGAAAAGCGTCATCATCATCATCACCAGCCTATTAATATCCCCACTGCTGAGGCTCAGGCCTTCCCTATTGATGGAATAGGGAGATTGGGCCATGACCCACCACGCGGGCCCAGTGCGGATTGATGGGTGCTAACGACTGCAGATGCGGCCGGGACCAACGGCTTAAAGTGCCTTCCGAAGCACGGAGGAGCTCGAGATAGTAATTTTTGGTCACCCATCCAATGACCGACCACTGCGAAAGTTGCTTAAGTTCAACGATCGCAGCCGAACGCGCTAACCACTTGCGCCATCGAGCTGCTCAAAATTATGATTCATGTTCAACATGGCCGTATTTCTAACTTTTTCTTAAATTACTTTTTACTACAGAAGTTTTTAAGTTCCGCCTCATATCCTCAGCCGCACCAATAAATCCTTTGTCGCAAAATATCGATATTTGCGATCGGCGTCATCTGGTCGTATACAAGGCTTTTCATATGACTCCACACATAATAATGAAAAGCCTTGTATACGACCAGATGATGCGATCGTTGAACTTAAGCAACTTTCGCAGTGGTCGGTCATTGGATGGGTGACCAAAAATTACTATCTCGAGTTCCTCCGTGCTTCGGAAGGCACGTTAAGTCGTTGGTCCCGGCCGCATCTGCAGTCGTTAGCACCCACTAATCCGCACTGGGCCCGCGTGGTGGGTCATGGCCCAATCTCCCTATTCCATCAATAGGGAAGGCCTGTGCCTCAGCAGTGGGGACATTAATAGGCTGGTGATGATGATGATGATGCTTTTCTGGTTTTATTTAGGTATTTTTGCTATTTTTACCTCAAACATAAAATGTACCCTAACCATAACTGTTATTTGGTCAATGTTTTGCCAATTTAATAGCAAGTGTTATACCTTTTTGAATAGCTAAAGAGACGTAGAAGTTTTTAAAATTATTTGCAGAATAAGTTCCATATATGTTTTTTTAGGAAAGCGCTTCAAAGTTAACAACACTTGGTGAAAATCCTTTAGTTATAACCGTTGTCGAGCAGTTTTTTTAAGCCGTTAGAAGTAAGTTCAGTTTTTATTCATTATTTTTATTGCTTGACATGTCTTCTAACTAGATTCATTAAAAAATCGGATCTTTGGAGCTCTAATTTCATAAAAATCGAAAGTAACCCAAAAAATATAGGATTTTTTAAAAAAAATCTTTAATATCCAATATCTCCATAACGGTTAAGTTTTGGACACCATATTATAGGACCAAATCCATCAGAAATGACCTGAATAATAACGTCCTTTAATATTCAGTACGACTTTCCCTGTAACCCTGTATACATATACACGCAAAAAAATGTAAATACATAGATGAATGTAACTGGCCAATCCGTCCTTTTAATATTATAATTGGATCTCGAATTCTTAGTAAATACTATTTTGTAAGAGAAATTTCAAAGTTTATATTTAAGTATTATGATTTGATTCAATTTTATGCAGTGAATAAAGCTAACTTAAATATTGTTCTTGCACTTTAAAATCTACTGATGCTATGCTCGACTCAATCTTTTTTTAATAAGTATTTATATAAGTCGAAATGTGTAAATTGTATTTTTTGTATAATACTGTATATTATACACTAACATATTGTAAAGGTAGTGTGTAAGGGAGAGAAAAAATAAAACTGACATTTCAAACTTTTATTTATTTTATTATCTATTTTCCAATTGTAAAAGGGGGAAACAGTCACTCTATCACTCCGTGTATCTACGCCACTACTGATCTTCAGCCATTTACACATTCATAAAGAAACATCAACCGAAATTAGGTTAAAATTCACAAATACACATTTAATGTTGATTAATGCTAGCTTACGAGTAACGGTTTGGGCGCAACGAGAAGTCAAGCGACTGCGGAATTGCGAAATTAAAATTATGACATTCCATAATGCGCGATGGCGCGTAAGAAGTTGACGCATCACGGAACAGAGATGGCAGTAGAGTGCGGGCAAGAGGGCATGTTTTATTTTAGCGTTTATAAAAATAAATCATCTGCTCTTCTGCCCGCATCCTACTCAACAAAGATATAGAACAGTATCTCTCGTTCCCGATGCGTAGGGTGGAGAGGCGAGGCGTCTCAATGGGCCCAAACCAAATATAACCTAAGTTGCTCACCCACGGACTTAGCGACATTTCGGCCACAACATACAACCAAACGGTGTCGAGCACCCAAACAATATAAGCGACTGATTCAAACAACTACTACATCAATGCAAGTTATAACAGAAACTTCATGTAGGTATGCATACGGTCATACTAGACACCACGACAAAAACATTATTGATATGGTTACAAGTTGTAAAATTAATAATCCTTATTGCACTATAATATTATACGCAACCGTCGGCGTTCCTGTCTACGATACTCGGGCTGTAAAAATCATTACCCTCCTTCTGGGTCGGCCGGGTAAAAATATGCTAACGTACCGCGTCCCCACTACACATTATTATTCTAAGCTCAGAAAATATACTACAAATCAATTTTCAATATACAATTTTGGACTTATATTTTAAATAGAACACGCGGCTACACCGAAGCTGGAACGTAGCGAGTACAGTCCCAAACGATCGAGAACAGAACAATAAGTTGCAAATTATGAGCGCACACGGCTTCTGCACTTATGTAAAAACAAAATACGAGTCAAAATTGCTTGTCAAAATGGAAACATTTTAAAAGTACGAAAAATACAACTGTGCCCTGTTGTAAAATATATTCGATAATATTGTTAAAAAAATATGAAACACAACTCTTCATTGCGCCAGAGAACAACGTTGCGAGTCCTGTGTATTTATTTACACGTCTTAAAGATACACTTAATCGATTCTTAAATTGAATAGTTTTGCGATAGTGCCGAGTTTTCGAATGTTTTACAACCTAACACACAAGAACATGCTCTACTTCGGATCGAAAACACAATGTCAAATAAGAAATGTACCCTTCGATCGATTCAGCAACAAACATTATATCCGGAACTTTGTACAACGTTTTCTTAATCAAACAATAGCCGATATTAAGGGCGCGCGCACTAAACAACCTGTGTTGGTACCATAGAGGTATAAGAATAGAGTAGGGGAGATATAGACTCTACTACAAATGGAAGTGTCCCTCTAATAGAAAGAGAAAGAAGATGAGAGACCGCTAGCTTTCTCTCTCTAATCGCGCATGCGCATTGGCAACCGTAAGCATCTTACTATTTCGATGTGATGCCATTGGATGCCATGAGTCACGAGACAGAAAGAGATAGCTAGCGGTCTCTCATCTTCTTTCTCTTTCTACTAGACGGACACTTTTAGAGCCGCCTTCCCCAATCTATTCTTATACCTCTATGGTTGAGACCGGCTCGGTCCTACGTACAAATAAAAATAAAATAACTCGCGCGACCCTTTAATAAAATCCTCATCCTCATTATGGGACTTGGAAAAACAAATCAGATTGTGTATCGTCACTCAGCAGTCCTATAGGCACTGAAAATAAAACATCCTTACACATTCTAGAGCTGTTTACTTGGATTATCCTTACGCTAATTTATTTCTACAACATAAAATTACATTACACCAGAACCGCGCCGACCTTTCATCATTTACGGCATGTTTTCAAGGGACCAAACGAAACCGCTTTTGCGTTTCGCTTTATTTTTATATAAATTGAGATTTGGCGTACAGGAAGCGGTTTGGCGTTTCGTTTTAATGGATTTATAACACGACACAATCCTGCGAATTATAATTCGATATTTATTTTCATAGCATTTTTTAGTTAAAAGTTATTATCAGGAATTCATGATTACATTTATCACCATTACATTTTCAAATCAAACACCCAATTGTTTTACTTATAGCACAACGCGAGACCGCTACCTGTTAAGCGAAATCTCACAAAAATATATAATAACATCTCTTCCATACCGTATCGAACGAACACAAGACAATTTTTTTATAATAATTAATAAAATATGCTCCACGCATTGGTACCAATACTGGCGGAACGAATGTTTCATATTAATCCAATATGTGGCCCAACGTTTATAAGAAAAGTTGGTGCCGACATTGGTACCAATGTAAGGAACTAGCATATATGTATATACGAAGAAGTTTAAAGTTTCCAATTATGTTTTTTCTCGTTTCCATAAAATTGTCGGGTAGTTTGCGAGCCAACGCGGCGGGTATTAACGCTAAGGTTTAAGTGGTGTGGCTTACTTGGCTATTTATATGTTAAGCGGCCGATGGGTCACTGCTCACGATGATATGAGCTGCGGACAACACAATATTTATCAGTTTCATCAATCTTTGCTAAAAATTTTTTGAAGTTAGAGACTTGGTTTAGAGGAAGTAATCTCTGGAAGTATTGATTATATTTTTTTTACCAGTCCAATTATTTGGTTACGTTTGCACGAGCTCTTTTCCTCGCAGTTTTTAGCCGTATGACTTTTCGATGAGTACTTGACACATGTAGCAAAAGATCTCATGTGAACAATATGAAGAAAGTTAAGCACTCATCTCGATGGCGCAAGGTGGTTAGCGCGTCCGGCTGCGATCGTTGAAGTTAAGCAACTTTCGCAGTGGTCGGTCATTGGATGGGTGACCAAAAATCTTTTATCTCGAATCCCTCCGTGCTTCGGAAGGCACGTTAAGCCGTTGGTCCCGACTGCATCTGCAGTCGTTGGCACCCGCCAACCGCACTGTGGGTCATGGCCCAATCTCCCTATTCCATCCATAGGGAAGGTCTGTGCCCCAGCAGTGGGGACATTAATAGGCTGATGATGATGAATCACTCAAGATTGTTATTTTTACTAGACAGACTAGCCGCAAAATTCATTGAACTACATAAGAATACAAAACAAAAAGAGACAAGTAAAATGTTTGATAGAAACGTGTACAAACAATTGAAAAGAATTAGAAATGTAATTAAAAAAAACTCGTATCTCAAGTTTGGCTCAGTAAGTACAGCCAATCTTTAAGTTCAATACAAGTGTAAACTTTATTCACTTTCTTGTTTTAAGTCATTCAAGATAAGCCGATTTTTTATGTCCCATAATCACAAAAACCTATTTGACATGAAATTGCTAACAATTTAATCTTGTTTTCGTAGAATTTTTAAACTAGCAAATTATGCATAACAATAGGGTATTTGACAAGTTTTAAAAAACGATCTCACGTTATTGACTAATGTTTATGGAGTCCGTAAAAAGATATTCATCATTCTGTTGTGTATTTCAGTAAAAATAACCAAATCAAAAACTCCATCTTCAAGTTGCCGCGAAAACGTTTCTCTGGACAATATGGCGCCTTACTAGTGTGTGACGTCTCACGACTGTCATTAAAACGTCAAACGATACAATGTAACGTCACTTTAACCGGAAGTTTACTTGCGTGTGACATCATTTTAGGCTCCGCCAATCCCAAGCGTTTTGGGTCTCGTGATAATAGATAAGAAAACTATTATCTTTTTCGTGGGTTTTTAATAAATTATGAATACTTTTTTTGTAAAAATAGTAAAAACCCCTGCCAATATTCATTCTTAACACAGATGCTAACAATTGGCACTTTATTTTGAATACTGTCACATACCCTATTCCGACAAGTGTAGTATTTTGAGAATGCTCACTAGGTACTCGCAAAATATACAGCGCAAAATCAATCAAAACATACTTAAAACAAAACAATTATGAGCGCCTATTTTGGCATTGTCAGTCGCCTTTTTACAACCTGTATAAAGCTTATTTATCTCCAACTTATAAACAAAATAAAAAGCAAACAAAACAAAACTCTACCTTTAAAGAGAAGCGGGTGTTCCTCCATTCCATTTATTTCGGTTTATTTATTTCTCATAATATATTATTATTGTAATAATATATAACTATGTCCTTCTTATAAACTATAATAGGTATACTATGCAGACATCTACACTCCGCTTTTAACCCCTAACATATTAAATACACTGCAACAAAAGAAAAATAAAACAAATCAAAATAAAGCAAAATAAATTGATAAATACATTTTGTGGACTTTTTGGCGGAATCGGGAAGCGTCACTTTAGCAGTTTTGTTTTTCATGTTAAAAATTGTGTTGTGGCGGATTGTAATGTCTAATAATGGTGGATTATTAACCACTAAGTTTTCGGGAACATGCACAAGTGTTGGCAAGTGAAACAAAATAGCGGAAAGTGTCTTTCGACATTCCCTCAAGAAGTCCACGGTGAGGTTCCAGTAAATCCCCAAACTTTTACTGAAACATAGGGAAAGGGGGATTGACTTGACTGCCACTTACTTTGACTTCATATTTTATTTACTTTGACTTTGACCACGAGTGCTGTAGTATTTGTAATTTGTAAAGCAAAGCCGTGCGAAGCCATTTAGAAAAAAAAAATACATTTTTTGATTCGATTCGCACGATAATAAAATGAACAAATGATGACAAACAAGCAGGAATTAAAAAGTTGGCAAACTAAAAGTTTCATTCGACTTCGAACGATGGAGAAATTATTTAATAAAAATCTTAAAAGACTCAAAAATTATCTTCTTCAGTTAAACATTGTAATTCAAATTGAATGGTCGAAAAAAAAACTACTGTTAATTAGAAAAAAAATATAATAATTGTCCAGAATTTATTTCGGAACAATCAAGAAGAATATAATTTTATTGAAAAGAAAAGAAAAGATAAATATAATAACGGGTTAACCGTTAAAACTAGTTTTATTTAAAACTTCCGTTACAAAATATGTATATTATTTAACAGGCAGAAGCAGAAAGCACTTTTTAAAGTAATGGGTGTCCGCGATTTCGTCTGCCTGGAACATTCGGTTTGACATACAAAATTCTTCCCCTACATTTCCCACTCTTAAAATATCGAGCCGTTACCGCCAAATTATCGTAAGCGACTCTCGCCAAATTATCGTAAGCGACACTTTTGTCGAAATGCGTTTTTTGTGGAAACTAATATTTTAAACCGTAACGGACCCATCTCTGTTGATATTTCCCTCTATTATATTATAACAGTGTTCTTTTGGAGGGAAATATCAACAGAGATGAGTCCGTTACGGTTTAAAATATTAGTTTCCACAAAAAACGCATTTCGACAAAAGTGTCGCTTACGATAATTTGGCGGTAACGGCTCGATATGCTTTCTGGAATAAAAACTGTTCTATTGCCTATCCTGGAACTAAAACTATCTTTATACCGAATTTCATCTTAATCAGTTCAGTGGTTTAAGTGTGATGAAGTTACAGACAGACATATTTTCGTATTATAATATTAAACGTGGATTATATGGAATAAAAACCATTCTATGGCCTATCATGGAACAAAAACTATCTTTATACCGAATTTCATCTTAATCAGTTCAGTGATTTAAGTGTGATGAAGTAACAGACAGACATATTTTCGTATTATAATATTAAGCATGGATTATTTGGCGGTAACGGCTCGATATGCTTTCTGGAATAAAAACTGTTCTATTGCCTATCCTGGAACTAAAACTATCTTTATACCGAATTTCATCTTAATCAGTTCAGTGATTTAAGTGTAATGAAGTTACAGACAGACATATTTTCGTATTATAATATTAAACGTGGATTATATGGAACAAAAACGATTCTATGGCCTATCATGGAACAAAAACTATCTTTATACCGAATTTCATCTTAATCAGTTCAGTGATTTAAGTGTGATGAAGTAACAGACAGACATATTTTCGTATTATAATATTAAGCATGGATTATAAATATTAATGTAAATTGATATGGTTTATAAAATAAAAATCTTTTTTAGCCAACACACATACTAAAACTATAAACAACAAAAGGCAAACAAATTATACATCCCAGCAAACTAGTTGATTAACGACCATAGGTAAGGAAACCTGCTCTGAAATATGTTATAAATCTTGTTGAGCCGATAATCCCACAACAGTTGGTTGAACGATCGAGTACATATTTCTATCCACAAGTGTACGATGATGATGATGATTGAATCAACTCACCGACTTGACTGTGGCCTTGATGAAGTCCTTCTTGTGTGCCAGATCGAACTCCGGGTAGTGGCTGTACACCTGCTTGCAGACCGTCTTCATGGTGATCTGCTCGAGGTTGGCACCTTCCAAGATCTGCTTCACGTACTTCTTTATCTCCTCGTCCTGCGGAAATAATAATCACTTACAATCATGACGGCTCAATTACACTTTGTTGTTAGCCCGAATACGGTTGCCAATGGGATTTGGGTAAAAGACAGTGTAAATGCACGGAGTCGAGTACGCTTATGTTAGGATAGTTTTCGTTTTGGTTACCCGACCATATTCGGGACCATATTTCAGTATAAATATTGCTTTGGGTGCCCAAATACAGAGTAACGACCACGTGTAATCAAGGCAATAGTCAAAATTATTTTCAACTTAATTAAGAGGTTATTTTTCCATTCTCTTATAAAACTTGTAAGTAATATCGTTTGTCACCTTCAAAACAAACTATGTATTTGGCTAAAAGTATCCAGCTCAAAGGACTAAGGGATGATGACTAATTTTTTTGTCTTCGTTTATCAGGTGGATTATCTAAAACTATTGGGACACGTATTTTTTCTTTTTTCACATAATATAAACATTGCAGAGATACATTGATTTGAAAAGTCGCATGACGTCACGTTTTGGTACACTTTGAAGTGAAAATTCACTAAAAAGTGACGTCACGAGCCCTTACTCCCAGACTTTGACGCGCTATAACTTTGTCATTTTTTGGTTGATTGCCAAAAGAAAAAATACGTGTCAATTATTTTTTGATCAGCTAACTGACGGACTATATAGAATTTCGTTTACTATACCCCGTCATCACCCCTATTGCCCTATATAACACTATCCTAATGACTGTTGTCAACAAATTAGATAGCTGCTTTATCAAGCAGTGTTTGGGTGATGATGACATAGGTCATCATTATCTTCTGCGGTGATGAAGGATTTGTTTTTCAATTATACTCTATTTCAAACTTATCACTTCTACGAAACATACATTACTAAAATAAAATAAGTTAACTAACAAATATGAATTATTATTATTTTATGAGATATCAACATACCGTTGGCGGCCGCTTAGGCTTCTTGTCCGCGGGCGCGTCGGAATCTTCCCCGGACTCTTCCTCGCTGCCCTCTTCCTCTTCCTCCTCTTCGCTTCCTTCTCCGGACTCTTCTTCGGAAGACGCCTTCTTGCCCTTCTTCGCCGGCCGGCCTGCCGGCTTGCCCGCGGGCTTCTTCTTACCTGTATATAATAAAAAGACTATAAAAAATGGTCTACTTATAACAACTTAAACTACAACTTTACTGTTGAAACTTGGTAAGTAGATGTATTCTGTGAACCGCATTAAGATTTTTACACAAAAATAGACCCATACGTGTGGGATATCTATGGATCGGGTCTTTAATAATGATATTGAGGTTTCTAATGTCATTTTTTTCTAAAAGTTGTTTAGAAGTAGCAGTGGGGCGGCCAACAGCTCCCTTCTATGCTTCAGCTCTTGTCCTAAGATTGGAAAGGACAATGCCCCAGCAATGGGGACATCAATAGGCTGATGATGAACACATCTGACCTGGCGGCGTGGGTGGTTTCCGCTTGACAGGCGTCTGTCTGTTTAGAAGCAGCAGTGGGGCGGCCAACGGCTCCCTTCCATGCTTCAGCTCTTGTTCCGAGATTGGAAAGGACTGTGCCCCAGCGCAGTGGGGACATCAATAGGCTGATGATGAACACATCTGACCTGGCGGCGTGGGTGGTTTCCGCTTGACAGGCGTCTGTCTGTTTAGAAGCAGCAGTGGAGCGGCCAACGGCTCCCTTCCATGCTTCAGCTCTTGTTCTGAGATTGGAAAGGACTGTGCCCCAGCGCAGTGGGGACATCAATAGGCTGATGATGAACACATCTGACCTGGCGGCGTGGGCGGTTTCCGCTTGAAAGGCGTCTGTTTAGAAGCAGCAGTGGGTCGGCCAAAGGCTCCCTCCTATGCTTTAGCTCGTTCCGAGGTCGGAAAGGACTGTGCCCCAGTGCCCCAGCAGTGGGGACATTAATAGGCTGATGATGAAGATATCTGACCTGGCGGCGAAGGTGGTTTCCGCTTGTAAGTGTCCGTGTAGAAGCAGCAGTGGGGCGGCCAACGGCACCCTTCTATGTTTAGCTCGAAAGGACTGTGCCCCAGTGCCCCAGCAGTGGGGCATTAATAGGCTGATGATGAAGATATCTGACCCGGCGGCGAAGGTGGTTTCTGCTTGTAAGTGTCCGTGTAGAAGCAGCAGTGGGTCGGCCAAAGGCTCCCTCCTATGCTTTAGCTCGTTCCGAGGTCGGAAAGGACTGTGCCCCAGTGCCCCAGCAGTGGGGACATTAATAGGCTGATGATGAAGATATCTGACCTGGCGGCGTGGGTGGTCCCCGCTTGAAAGGTGTCCGTGTAGAAGCAGCAGTGGGGCGGCCAACGGCACCCTTCTATGTTTAGCTCGAAAGGACTGTGCCCCAGTGCCCCAGCAGTGGGGACATTAATAGGCTGATGATGAAGATATCTGACCTGGCGGCGTGGGTGGTCCCCGCTTGAAAGGTGTCCGTGTAGCAGCAGCAGTGGGGCGGCCAACGGCACCCTTCTATGTTTAGCTCGAAAGGACTGTGCCCCAGTGCCCCAGCAGTGGGGACATTAATAGGCTGATGATGAAGATATCTGACCTGGCGGCGTGGGTGGTCCCCGCTTGAAAGGTGTCCGTGTAGCAGCAGCAGTGGGGCGGCCAACGGCTCCCTCCTATGCTTCAGCTCTTGTTCTCAGATTGGTAAGGACTGTGCCCCAGCGTAGTGGGCACAATAATAGGCTGATGATGAAGATATCTGACCTGGCGGCGTGGGTGGTTTCCGCTTGACAGGCGTCGGTTTGGAGGCAGTCGGTCGGCCCACGGCTCCTTTACGTGGGGTCGCGACGGCGCTGCCTTTAGCTGGAGGACGGCCGCGCTTGGCTTTAGGCTCCTGCTGTGGACAAAGATGTTGGTGATCATTTAAACGCTAAGATTAAAAACAAAAAGTAGTCACATATGATGTGTAACATTTGAAACCTCACCTTGAGTTAGTAAAAAAAGAAATAAAACCTACTACAAAAGCAATAAGCCATTTGAACATTATATTCTAAAATCAAATAGCGGGCGCTTTCGCGACTTCCTGTTACACACTTCCGTGCCATTTCACGAAATCACTCCCACAAATTGCAGGAAAGCGAGAGGAAAGATGTTACACATCAAAAAGGGAAGATACGGTACGCTCATACTGACATCAAATAAAATATGATCCGACTCAACTACAATCGGGTTGAAATCCGGCCTGAGACCACCAAACATTAATCGAAGTTTCTCAGCAAAAGGTGTTTTTTTACATGTTATGATAAGGGTCACCCCCCTGCCTATCCTTGTACTTGTATCTAAAACAAAAAGGGAAGATATGGTACGCTCATAATAGCAACAAATCAAATATGTCCGACTCAACTACATAAGCAACTCTCACACACACACACACACGTCTGTAAATAAACATTCAATCGAACAAGCGAGACAGAATTGTACGTTCTTTCTCTACAGACGTCTGAGCTGTATTGTTGTTCTTTTCTTGATAAAAAATGGCGAATCAGTAACTAACATTCATGGCAAACCGTGATTTTTGAGAAAAGAATGTTTTATAGTTTTACGAATGTGAAGTGTTGCCGTGAAAATTGTTATTTCATCTTGAACTATTTGTGTTCTTTATAATAAAAGTATCGAAGGTATTTTTTATCTTTATAACACAGAATAGACGCAATGTTATTATATTGAGTCCACATTCAGCGTGTTTGAATGTCCAATTGTGACTAAAGCGAATTGTGGTCGTGCACCACAATTTAAGCAGATCACTTTTGAGCCGCGAGTGCCGTATCTTCCCATTTTGTTTTAATCTAAGTTTAAACAATATTAAAACCCCCTAAATACAACATCACAAACAAAATCTTAACCGAAGCCTGTCCAAAAGGTACACTGAACGATCCACGGAGATCTGTAGGATGATAGCGTAGCCAAAAACAATTTATGGTATTGTTTAAACGTTAAAATAGAACACTAAAGCATAGTGTTTAAGATCTTTATTTAAATGCATACGTCAAAGAATTATGGCAGTTCCCAACATAAAACAATAATTATGAAAAGTTAAAACTATTGTTCCAGATATTCGAAGCCCTTTGTTTTTATATTCCTGCTTACTCGAGTTTAAAATCGAAATCATATACATATGTATTCGCAAAAGTTTAACATAGTTTTTATTCGTTAACTAGCTGACCCAGCGTATTCCGTTCTGCTAACAATAATTTGGAAGAAATGATACACGACGAACGTCAAATGTTTGACAGGAATGTTGATAGAACAGTTTATATGGAAAAATGAAATTGTAGTTTTACTATCTTCCTTCCAATTTTTCCTTCCCTGGACTACGACAAACATTTTAAAACCAAAATCAACTAAATCGGCCCAGCCGTTTTCGAGTTTTAGCGAGACTTAACTAACAGCAATTGCTTTTTTATATGTATAGATTATGTACTCACGTCGGACTCCTCCCCTTCGCTGCCGGACTCGTTCTCGCTCTCACTCTCGGACTTCTCGCTCTCCTCGTCGCTGTCCGACTTGGCCTTCTTGCCGCGCCCCGGTTTGACCGCAACCTGTGGAACAATTAACAGTGTTAGAATGTCGGTGTGACGCATTCTAATGTCTCTTGGAGTGTTTGGCATGAAATGTATCTAGTTAGCTTTTTCGATAAGCTTCTGTGAAATAGTCAAGACTACAATAAAATTCTCACTTCCACTTGACTGGTATAGCGTATATTTTAAAGAGCCCACTAATTCTTCAGTTGCGAAGACGGTATTAACACAAAGTCACACCAAATATATTCAAGGGCGGATCCAGAGGGGGGGTCATAGGGGCATGACCCCCTCCCCTGGGCTGGGTCCATCTGTACCCACTTCACAATCTGTACCCACTGTGACTTGACCACGACTATAAGACCCCCCCCCCCCTGGCGCCAAAGCTGGATCCGCCCTTGAATATATTTCACAATATCCACTATACACAAATTTAGGAATAATTAAAATAAGACCGCACTCGAGAAAGCGCGCCAAAAACTACAAAAAAAATGGGTGCGTATACTTATGTAGGCGCGTGAGAAGTTATCCTTCTTTGGCATCGTTTAAAATTAGTTTTTAATTGCACGCAAATAATTAATTACAATAAATTAATAAAAAGTCTGGAAAAGGACACAGTCAATAAAGTTCAGTTTTAATTTGAAAAAATAAATAAATAATCAAAATATTCAATTAAAATCGCTACTGAATATAATTTATTAGAACATATGTGATTTGCACTTGTATGAAACTCAAACACGTATTCCGAAACAAACTAGAAACATGTGGATAAATATTATAAATATGAATACCTATAACTGTTACTTTATTACAAAAAATGAAGATGTGGTTTTTGGTTCTACTACACCAATGGTCAAGAGATGGCGCTGTAGTCTCCTGAATCGCGCTTTGGTTCCGTTGTTCCAGATTAATAAATACTTTTGATAGGCCTTCACAATGCAGTCGTTAGCACCCCTAAATAGAGATTCTATTTCTATTTTGTTGGTAGATTTTCTTAATGTGCGGTAAACACAAAAGTAACGCATGAAGTTGGAAAATTTTGTGTTACAGTGATGCGCGCGCATCTTAAAATTTCACTCTCATAATTTTTTCATAACGCGCCTAAAGAAGTATAACTTCAAAAAACGAAATCCCTCACCTTCCCCTTCTTTCCCTTGGGCTTGCGGCCCCTCTTGCCTGGCTTCCCGCTGGACCGGCGCCGCGGGGGCCCCGGGCGACGCTTGCGGGCCCCGGGGGTGCCCTCCCCCGCCTCGGGGTCGAAGTCCGAGTCGCCTTCTTCGGAACCGCTCGGGTTGAACGAACCCTGTATAGCCACAACAATGTTAATAATAATGTTAAATGTTTAGTTACACCTATTAAAAGTAACTCTATTTGTATTTATACTGTATGTGACACAGCAATCAAAATGCAGGTGAACAATTAATGTATAATTTCGCATTATGGAATGAAAGGTTCATGAACTATCTCAGAAGTCGTTTTTCAACTTGACGACTCTGTAAATAATAAAACAGGGAGAAAAAAACAGCCCTTGCTGAGTTTCTTGCCGGTTCTTCTCAGTACAAGGTCTCCCGCCGTAGATTTACGAACCGAGAGCGTAGCTTCTAGACATTCATATGTGCTTGTATCAGCCTAAACTGTATAAATGGTTTTGATTATGAATATACCACGTTTATTTCATGTTGGCACTGCACTATAGCTATGCGTGTTTTCTATGCGCTCATTCATAAAGTTCTTCACACTAATTTCGTGATTTTTTTTACGCCTCCCACATCTTGTCAGTTTGTCACGTTAGTAGGCAACTGCCAAGGGGGCGCGCTCGAAAAAACATTGCACCGTCATACACCAAACGACCCGATCGGGGCGCGCTACCAACGGGACTATAGATCGTTTTTTGAGATAGTTAGAGTCGACTTTTGTATGAAGAAGTTTAAACATAGACTAGGATAAATTTCCTATCTCCAGAGCCGAAAAGTTTTCGCCTACTCTGTGTAGTTTTTTTTTGCATCATTGAAAACGTGGATTGTTTTTTGGTCGAATTGAGGTTACGTGTGTGTAAATTATTTTATTCAAGGTAAGTGCATATTTTTTTTTTTCGAAAAGTGTTACAAAGTGTGTTATTCTGCTTATAATATACCTTTATAGATAATTGGTTGTATAAAATATTTTGTAATAATAATGATATGTATATATATAATGGTATCGATTCTGACATGATTCTCTAAACCTAAACTTAAATTTGACAACAGTGCATTGTCATTCTCTATACAAAATGAAAAGGAAAGACTGTTGTTAAATATAGTTTTAAGTTTAGAGAATCACGCCAGAATCGGCACCAATATATTACAGCATAAATAAGTTCATGCTGTGATAATATGGTCAAAATGGTTTAATAAACTCGGCGAGTGGTTTTCTTTTTTTGTATTTTGTAGTATGGCTTAGTGGCGCTAAGACCAGGACCCACTCGCCGATTTTAAAAGGCTGCTCTATGAAGATAAGGTTGGCGAGGAGCAGCAAATGAGTGATGCAGTAGAAGATACTTCAAATTTAGCAATAACTTCAATGTTCATTTTAAGTATTCTATCAATAAAAAGAACATGCATATAGCATTGATAAATTCATAGTTATATACTAAAGTATTTCGGACACATCGCTCCGAGGCCCCCACGAACCCCCCCCCCCCCCTCTCTTGCCCGCGTCCGGGGCGGGTTTATGTCACACTTGCTATAAAATAGTGTACGATACTTGTGGCCTAATTTGTCTATTACTGCACGGCGTGAAGTTAGCGCCCGAGCGGAGCGAGGGTGCTAAACGCCGTGCAGTAATAGGCAACTTAGGTCACGCGTATCGTAATGTACTATTATATTTTGTATTTATAAAAATAAAATTCGATTATTCCCTAACGACAATTCCATGTTATTAGTAAAATGATGACTTACATCTGAGTCTTCTGAGCCGTCTCTTGGTGGTTTGGGTCCTTTGACTTTAGTTTCTGGGTCTGTTTCATATTCCTCGTCCGAGTAGCCTGGTCAATAAAACAAAGTTATAAGTCAACATTACTTGAACTAAATGTGTTATTTGTTATTGTATGTCTTGTCTATATTTCTCTTGTGGTCACTGTATTGGTATTAAATGATGGATTTTTTGTTAATTTTGTAAGTAATTTTGTTTTACTATGCTATTTTATGTATGCTCGTTTATAAAATAGGTCTTTATAAAACCATCTTTAAATTCGTTATTAGAATATTTCGACATGAGTGTTCGTCTTCGCCTCATGCAATAGACAGACTATAAATATGTGTTGCATACACTATTTTATTTTCACTCCTATGAACAATTAAAATTAAACAAAGTAGCTAGATAACAAAGAAGTAATTTGCAAAACTTTTCTGAAATCCCGAAACCATACTTTCTACTCGTGTATAGTGTAGTACAAACTTACCACACTAATATCATAAAAAAACTAATATAATTTTTAAAAAACTTTTCAAGAAACGTCAATATTACTGTAATTAGTTATTTATGATATTAGTGCACTAAGCTGGTTGTTACAAACGAGCAGGCAGGTGTAGTGTGGTGTGGTGTGACGTCACTCACCGCGGTTGTGTACTTTGACAGCGGCGGAGCGGCGCGGCCTGCCGCCCGGGGTATTGGTGGCGGCGTGTATTGTATGGTACAGCAGGCAGGTGTAGTGTAGTGTGGTGTGGTGTGACGTCACTCACCGCGGTTGTGTACTTTGACAGCGGCGGAGCGGCGCGGCCTGCCGCCCGGGGTATTGGTGGCGGCGTGTATTGTATGGTACAGCAGGCAGGTGTAGTGTAGTGTGGTGTGGTGTGACGTCACTCACCGCGGTTGTGTACTTTGACAGCGGCGGAGCGGCGCGGCCTGCCGCCCGGGGTATTGGTGGCGGCGTGTATTGTATGGTACAGCAGGCAGGTGTAGTGTAGTGTGGTGTGGTGTGACGTCACTCACCGCGGTTGTGTACTTTGACAGCGGCGGAGCGGCGCGGCCTGCCGCCCGGGGTATTGGTGGCGGCGTGTATTGTATGGTACAGCAGGCAGGTGTAGTGTAGTGTGGTGTGGTGTGACGTCACTCACCGCGGTTGTGTACTTTGACAGCGGCGGAGCGGCGCGGCCTGCCGCCCGGGGTATTGGTGGCGGCGTGTATTGTATGGTACAGCAGGCAGGTGTAGTGTAGTGTGGTGTGGTGTGACGTCACTCACCGCGGTTGTGTACTTTGACAGCGGCGGAGCGGCGCGGCCTGCCGCCCGGGGTATTGGTGGCGGCGTGTATTGTATGGTACAGCAGGCAGGTGTAGTGTAGTGTGGTGTGGTGTGACGTCACTCACCGCGGTTGTGTACTTTGACAGCGGCGGAGCGGCGCGGCCTGCCGCCCGGGGTATTGGTGGCGGCGTGTATTGTATGGTACAGCAGGCAGGTGTAGTGTAGTGTGGTGTGGTGTGACGTCACTCACCGCGGTTGTGTACTTTGACAGCGGCGGAGCGGCGCGGCCTGCCGCCCGGGGTATTGGTGGCGGCGTGTATTGTATGGTACAGCAGGCAGGTGTAGTGTAGTGTGGTGTGGTGTGACGTCACTCACCGCGGTTGTGTACTTTGACAGCGGCGGAGCGGCGCGGCCTGCCGCCCGGGGTATTGGTGGCGGCGTGTATTGTATGGTACAGCAGGCAGGTGTAGTGTAGTGTGGTGTGGTGTGACGTCACTCACCGCGGTTGTGTACTTTGACAGCGGCGGAGCGGCGCGGCCTGCCGCCCGGGGTATTGGTGGCGGCGTGTATTGTATGGTACAGCAGGCAGGTGTAGTGTAGTGTGGTGTGGTGTGACGTCACTCACCGCGGTTGTGTACTTTGACAGCGGCGGAGCGGCGCGGCCTGCCGCCCGGGGTATTGGTGGCGGCGTGTATTGTATGGTACAGCAGGCAGGTGTAGTGTAGTGTGGTGTGGTGTGACGTCACTCACCGCGGTTGTGTACTTTGACAGCGGCGGAGCGGCGCGGCCTGCCGCCCGGGGTATTGGTGGCGGCGTGTATTGTATGGTACAGCAGGCAGGTGTAGTGTAGTGTGGTGTGGTGTGACGTCACTCACCGCGGTTGTGTACTTTGACAGCGGCGGAGCGGCGCGGCCTGCCGCCCGGGGTATTGGTGGCGGCGTGTATTGTATGGTACAGCAGGCAGGTGTAGTGTAGTGTGGTGTGGTGTGACGTCACTCACCGCGGTTGTGTACTTTGACAGCGGCGGAGCGGCGCAGCCTGCCGCCCGGGGTATTGGTGGCGGCGTGTATTGTATGGTACAGCAGGCAGGTGTAGTGTAGTGTGGTGTGGTGTGACGTCACTCACCGCGGTTGTGTACTTTGACAGCGGCGGAGCGGCGCGGCCTGCCGCCCGGGGTATTGGTGGCGGCGGGCGCGGCGCGGACGGAGCCGCGCGCGTGCGGGGAATTGGCGGCCGGTTGTTGAAGGAAACCTACTAGGCGAGCGGCTAGTTCTTGCGCACCGCCTATACCGAGGAAAACATGCTTCTATTTATATGAGGCCACCACAAACGTGGGGCCGTTCAAGTATTACGTAAGCACTATAGGGGGGCAGGGGGGCCTTTGCTTTGCTTATTTTTGATGACATGGGGGGTGGGGGTCGAAGACTGTTAATTGGAATTAATATGTATACCAAAAATTCGAAAGAAGTTTGTTTTGTTCGTAATAGTACTTAATAAGATTATAATATTTGTACCTTACTCTACATTGAATACTGTGTCAATAAAGTTTGTTTAAATGAATATTATGTGCGTTAAAGTATCCCTATCCTAAGCCTATTTAAGTACTGCTGCTCATGAAGCTCATGAAAGCTCCAGAATCTATAAAAATATAATACATTAAAGCAAAAATGTATATAGGTACCAATGTTTACGTAAGCATGGGGGGCTAAGAGCTTTGCTTACTTTTGCTGACAAGGGGGAGGAGGGGGTAAATAATTGTAATAAATCTGCTTACGTAATACTTGAACGGCCCCCGTACACTTTAAATAATATAGCCGTTATGTAATCGCATCCATGGAATGTAAGTGACCCAATTCAGAAAGATAAAGATCCAGCTACATATTGACCCTATAACGCATATGTAATAACTTTTGGAAATCTTCTAGACGAGCTGCTAGTTCTTGCGCATCGTATGTGCCCCGAAAACATGCTTTTATTTATATGTGATCCAGACAAACCTTAGATTAAAACAAAAAGGGAAGATACGGTACGTTAATACTAGCATCAAATAAAATATGCTCCGACTCAACTACACAAGCGATCGATCGAACGAGACAAACTACGCTTCGTCGCAGCGCGTGCGAAACGGCAAGTCCGCATCTGAGTCTGAACGGCTGAGCTGTATTGTTGTCCTTTTCTTGATAACAAAATGGCGATTACGTAAATAACATTCACGACAAACCGTGATTTTTGATAAGAAAAAGTTTTTTACAGTTTTACGAATGAAAAAAGTGTTGTCGAGGCATTTGATATTTGATTTTGAACTATTTGTGTTCTTTATAAAAGCATCGAAGACATTGTTTTACGTTTATCAAAATATACGCAATATTGTTATATTAAGTGCACATGAAGCGTGTTTGAAGGTCCAATAATTGTAACTAAAGCGAATTGTAGTCATGCACCACAATTTAAGCGGATATTGACACACTTGAGCCGCGAGTGCCGTATCTTCCCTTTTTGTTTTAATCTAAGCTACAAACGTACAGTTTTAATAATAAAGCCGTTATTTAATAGAATTAATCAGTGGAATGAAAGTGACCCAATTCAATAAGATAAAGCTACAAATTGACTCTAAAACACATACGTAACAACATACAGGAAACCTACTAGACAAGCGGCTAGTTCTTGCGCGCTGCCTATACTCAGAAAAACATGCTCCTATTTATATGTGGCCACCACAAACGTACACGTTTAATAATAAAGCCCTTATTTAATCGCATTCTTAGAATGAGTGACCTAATTCAGAAAGATAAAGATCCTGCTACAAATTGATCCTATAACGCATACGTAACAACTTTCAAGAAATCTTCTAAAGGAGCGGCTAGTTCTTGCGCGCTGCTTATATCCCACAAACGTATACTTTAAATAATATAGCCATTATATAATCATGATAATATAGCCATTATATAATCATCTTGGAATGAGTGACCTAATTCAAAAATATAAAGATTCTACTACAAATGGGGAAGAAAACTGCCAATTTATCCCGGGCCCATAAGAAGCAATCGAGACAACTGTCAGAGTCACAAGGAAAAAAGGCAAGGTAAAATGAAATATAGATTTGGACTGCGTTAGAAAACATACGTTCCAGGTGCAACAAATATCAGATTTGACATAAGGTTCATACATTTTTATGTCAAAATTGAAACGTTAGGGTAAAAATTTAAACTGTAATATTTTAAATTATGTTTAATACTTTCAAACATTAAAAAAAAGTACTGAACCTACCTTTCTTATCGAGATCCAACATTTCGCACATAGTGCGCAGCTGCTTCATTTCCATCTTTGCTGTTTCTTCTAGCTTAGCTTTGTATTCCGTCGAGCCAATAGCCCATTCGTAACCCTTGAACTTCTTTATATTCCTCTTTACGTTCCGATCTAGACAAAGTTGCTGCAGAAACAAAAATCATTTTCAAAAGATACATATTTACACAGAATTTATGTTAGATATAAAGAGTACGGGACCTATCGACAATCCTTGGAGCATGCCATTTCTTGTTAATTTACTATTAACAAAAACAAAAAGTAATTTCTATTAAACGGGTATAATTATTACGTAACAGAATCGAAAACACCCTAAATTATAATATTTAGCAAGTTTTCAACGATAGATACAGTGAACCAAATGCTATTGCAAAGTTATAATTCATATTGACCCTGATAGAAATGTGAACTGACTTAAAATGACTAATATTAAGTATAATATAATTTCAATGCTTATTGGTAAATATTAAACATCACACGTTATAAGTATTTTATAGGAGTTTTGGATTAGTTACAAAAGACTGACAACAACTTTTTGAATTCTATAAAAATATTACTTCAATGCATACTCACGCCATATAGATACTGATGCAATATCTTCTGGTCCTGGGTCTTGAACCGTGATAAGGACACTTCGACGTTGCTGATGTGCCCTAATGGTATTCCCTTACCCGCCGGTAGAGGGACTGGAGGTTCCGTAGGCTAGTGGATAATAAAATACAAGCATAATCAAAAACGTTTATCACACTTACATATTCACAAAATGTAACATTTATTAATAATTTATTTTGTTTAGCTTTCTTTTTTTTAATGTATACATACTATCAGATTTCGTTTAAACCGAAACCTGTCCAATAGGTACATTGGACGATCCAAGGAGCTCAGTAAGATGATCGCGTAGTCAAAAACAATATTTTATAAGGCATTATTTAAATATTCAGTCATCTTTAATGCATACTGTATGTTTGTCTGTATGTATAATGTCTTAATTAAAATGGATGCGTCAGAGTTATGATTGTTCGAAATGCAAGCTCGTAAAATTTTATAACTCATTGCTATATACGAAAGAATGACCTTATTTCTTTGACCCTATGCAAACATTGACTATATACCCGTCAAAAAAACGACACTTCACATACTACAAGTATATTTACGCATATTTTAACGGAGCTCTGCGGCAGCTTGATTTTTCAACGGTCCGCGTGTGACTATGAACCAATGAGTGCTTAATTGTTGTTCAAGCGCTTCGTTTTTGAGACATATTTTGAGGGCACGTGGTGTATCAAGGGTATTTAATATCGTTGAGAAGACACTCTTTTGGCTCATGTGTTAAATTAATGGCAAAATTATCATGTATTGCAAATGCTATAATATATGCTTCTCTAAAAGCATAAGTAATAAAAATGTATAAATGAAATAGTTAAGATCCTCGCTTATGACTCCATTCTACTGGATTTTAAGTGTGATTGAACTTAAATTTAAAAATTAACTATAAAAACAAGATAAATATTAATTTAATCTGCTTCCGCTGAAAGAAAGAATCAAGATGAGGATTGAGGATCTCGCAAAAATTTCACATTACATATATATTTTATGGAAATCTCTAGTCTATGGATCTATTGTAAAGCCAATTGTGAATGAACTAGATGATGGTTACCTCTTTTTTAGGCTTAGGTTTAGGCGCCTCCTCTTCTTCTTCCTCCTCTTCTTCCTCTTCGCCCTCCTCATCACCTTCCTCATCTCCCTCTTCATCTTCTTCTTTTGGTTTCTTTGCTGGCTTTTTCACCCTGTTTAATAATTATTCATCAAGATTATTAAAAACTTATTCAATAACTTATGATTCCATTAAATCCAAAATCTAGTGATTGCCGCCAAGAAGATGCAGGAAATTAATCAACTACCAATATTATTTATGCCTCTTCCTAAAAAATCGTCGTTAAATTCAGCATTAAAAAAATTGTAAGTACCGGGATTTTTATGTGTTTATGTAGTATACCAGTTATTTAGAATCAAGCTATGTTTAGTTTGCGACCAAAATAATAAGAAATTATCCTAAATGTATTGTTATAAATACTCCATACTGCGAGAAAATTCATGAATGATCTTTACAAATTTTCATCCACAATTTCTTAGCCACAGACACATCTGTAGTTAGTATTTTAGTACAGTTATACTCACTTCTCTTTAGGTTTTTCTTCCTCTTCCTCGCCTTCATCATCCATCTCCTCGTCTTCCTCTTCTTCCTCCTCTTCATCCTCGTCCTCTTCCTCAGTATCCTGTTAGGAGTTAATATTTTCATAAACAATTAATCAATACGGTTTCCAGTGTCATCATCATTAATGTCTTAATAATAATTTTGTATCAAATGAATCGATACAGACACACAACTAACCTCTTTTTTAGGCTTTTTCTTGGGAGGAGCTTTCTTAGCACCTTTGTCGTTTTCTTTCACGGCGTCTTTTTCATCCTCATCGTGTGTCTCGCCGTTTTCTTCCTAGATATAAGAATAGATTCTTATTTTAATACATATTTATAAATTCTATCATACTTCAATAACTATTCTATTTTTGGGTTGTAAAACATTGGTAGGATCTAAGTTCGAAATAACAGTGGACTGGTTGTCTTCCAAATCAATTATAGTTACTGACAAAGTTGTTCGTGACGTATTCTATGCAGAACATATTGTTAAATATATGTACAATCAAATGGCGTGTAATCAGCACGTACCTTTTTAATGTCACTACCCGCTTTAGCCTCTTTCTTGTCATCTTTTGAGTCTTCTGCAGGATCGTCTTTGCCATTTGCGGTTGTAGATTTTACGTCACCTATGACAACAAATATATAATGTTTTTAAAGAAATTTGCATGAGCACATAAGCAAGATTTACTTATTATTTCTAAATAACAATTGACAATTTTAAAGTTTTATATCGTAGCTTGTATCCCTTTTCAGTTTCTAAACCAGAAAACAGCCATTAAAGTTTGTCTCCCAGATTGCCTTTTTACTTTTATTCTTATATAAGGCAACACAACCCAACCCTACATTTGGTAAAAAATTTTAAACTTGTGCAAAATTTGCACAAAGTGACGACGTACTTAAAACCCTAGACATTTTAAGTGTATATTACTTAAAAACGAATTGGTACCGTGCGAGGAAACAGGGACATTTCATACAATAAAACAATCATTTTATTTTTATTATCTTTATTAATACGAGTCATAAATCAATAATATCTTATCCACAAACTGGGCGGGCGGAATTGAACTGTCCTGGTGCCTTGCCCAGCCCAAAAAGCAAATAACAGACATAATGAATGCACAGCAACCCACTGTCCTTTGTTCAAACATAAAATTACAATAACATTGTAAATATATTATATATGACTGGTTTAGATCATTTCCTAAAAACACTTTTTATATTAAGGACAAAGGAAAATTTTCCTAGTCGGTTGCTGTACACTTTGATTGTATAAGAAGTAGGGAATGGAAAACCGGGTTTTTCGGGACTACCTGTTTAAAGAACCGGGACTCCCGGATTTTCGGGTCTCGTATAATTTACGGGCGTAACGAGATTTTAAATCAGTACACCAAATTCTTGACATTTGACGCGGATCGAGATCGAATTCAAATATGCGAATCCGATAATGGTTCATGCTAAGCCTATGTTATGCATCCTCAGCGATATTAAATATTCTAGATACAACAACACGAACAAAATCTTGGCCGAAACCTGTCCAAAAGGTACATTGGACGATCCTCGGAGCTCCCGCTCCGTAAGATGATCGCGTAGTCAAAACCAATACATATAAAGCATTATTTTAACATTAAAATTCACCTTTAATGCGTACTGTATAAGGTCTTAATTAAAACGTATGCGTCAAAGAGCTATGACAGTGCGAAATGCAAGCTGGTAAAATTTTACGACTATTTGCAATATGTGGAAGAATATAGACCTTATTTCTTTGACTCTTCGCGCAATTCTGAATGCGCTGTTCACAATACAGCAGGTACAGACCGCGAAAAGAGACGGCTATATACAGACCGTGGATTTGAATAACACATTTTTTTTCTATTAAACAGTTTGTAGTACGTATAAGAACAAAATTTGCTTATAATCAAACATTAAATAGATACCTGTCGAAAAAACCACAGTTAACGTACTACTCGTTTTTTTCTCATTTTTTCACGAAGCTCTGTGGTATTGACTTTTCAACGGCCCGCGCGTGACTGTGAACCAAGCAGTGTTTGAGTGGAGTTCAAGCACTTCTTGATTGGGACACATTTTGAACGCATGTACTGTATCTATGATATTTAATATCGTTGTGCACCCTGTAATAAGAATGTATGTACTGTGGTACTGTTTTTTGTCTTATAATCTTAAACCACTTCGTAACAATTGTCTATAAATACGTACCACACATACCAATTACATTAACAATTGGTTGTCTATTTTCATCATCAAAGACTCCATTTGGTAAAATATGATTTTCGGTGCTAATATCAGAGCGACTTTTAATCATAACCAAGTTTCTGGATACAAGATCTTGTCCCAGTAAGCCACGAACTTTTCCTATTAGTCTCATTAATGTAGAGCGCGGTATGTTTAATAATTTCGAAATTCTTTCATCACTGTCACCAGACTTTAACTACAACAGGTAAGCAGCAAGTGCTATGCGACCTCTGTGGATACTTTTCAATTGCGGCAAACTTTCAATGAGTGCTGTAAATTCGTTTTTTGTGAGTCCAATCCAATAGTGGATAATGTCATCAGACATGCCTTCTATATTTGTGAAATCTAATATGGGTTGTCTTTCTTTGACAAATGTAGCAAAATCTTCGATATGACTAATAGTGAAACTGTGGATTGAGTCAGTGATATTTGACAATACCTCCCATTTATTATTATACAGATGAAAATGGCAAATTCTACAGTTTTGTGGCACATAATATTTGTATTCAGCAAATAGTTCCAATCTCAGCCACTTGGGGACTGTTAGCCTTTCATTTGATCCACATTCTAGGTAAAAGCAATGACTTTGTGTGTCGGCCACTCTTGTGTAATTAGGTAGATCTATAGTTTGTTGATTGTTCTGCTGCATGTGTTGCTGTTGATTTGCAGAGCGAACTGCAGCTCTGTCGCATCGTTGCCAGCAGGGATGGCAAATTTGATCTGATTCTCTTAACTAAAACAAAAAACTGGTTTATTCAATTTGTTATTTTCTTACGGTTCATTGCTTTCATGCGGAGAAATACTCACTCGTTGGCACTTATTCCATTCTATAACAATATTACGAATGTTAGACTCTCTTTCTGTATCAATATTCAGTGTGTGTGCTCTCACTCGCAGCAATGAACACCCACAATTAATAAAAGTTTTTCGATCTCTCTTGCCAGCTGTTTCTTTCCCGTTTAACATACGAGATTTGGAGCTATGTAAAGCTAGCATCCAACAAGAGTGACATACTAAACTGCTATCTTCCGCCTATCGGAAAACAAAAAGATATTATTGTCTATTATTATTAATGAGTGTACAATGACACATTGTGAAACACAAAAAGCAAAAATTAAACTCACTTTTAGCGGGGCGATCCACTGGCGTATTACTGACGCGATTGCGGAAAGTACTAGATTATGTCTTCTCAGTGACGTAACATCAGTTCCACAATTAATGCATCTTTGCGTTAAATCAATTGTCTCAATAGATTGGCCGCAGGTTGCTTCGTCCATTTCTATGCGTGGGTCACAGGGTAGTACAATCATTTTGATATCTGTTTCCAAATCAAGTGAAATATTAAGACTATTCCGAAGTCCACAAGAGTAGAGCCGACGTGAAAATAAGGGTGATCTTAAAAAAATAATTTAAAATCAAACTTGTAAACTCAAATAATATTGGATAGCTTTGGGATCTAACCGACATCTTTAGTTGCTGCTGCTATCTCTATATGACGAGAAGACCAAAGAAGCTCTCGAAATGGTACCAAACTACATTGCATATTACTTAAAAGCTAGTGAACTTTTAAGTAATGGAGTTGTGACTTCAGCTTGGAGGTATTTGCGATTAAGCATCATCAGCAGCAACAGCCGCTGCAATATATGTTTCACATCAAAAGACTCCCGAGTGGAAACAGTTTTACCAGTGTCAAAAAATACTTATCTATTCCACTAGAACAGGGATGAGCAAACGTCTCGCGGACTATTTCCAGCCCACGAATGCTTGAAATCTGACCCGCCAAACAAAAATTTTCTCACCAAAAATTACCTACATTTTTTTTAAACAAATCAGTGGTCTGAGCAGGAAGAAACTATAGATTCTGATAGTAGATATTGGCACGATGAAGAAAAAGTTAACCCATTCCTGTACTGAATATGAATAAATGCATCCTATTATCTGTTAATTTCTCAAATTTTGAATACATCGGGACAGCCTAACCTTAGCAATAACAGGATTAACTCTTTTTTTCAAAAATAATAACAAAATTGTACATTATTATATGAATAAATGTGCCTTAAGTACATACAAGTATACAATCACATATACAAAAACTTATTCAGCAAAAGTGCAACTTCATATTTTTATGTTAGTGTCGCGATCGGTATGTCGTCACCGGTACCCGAGTAAGCAAGTCGCTCATTTCAATGTCACGCTTACGAACGAGACATGAAAAAAAAATATGCGCGGCATCGCTTGTTGTACTTGAAAACACTTCCGTATAAGTTATCCGCTAATATTATTTCGTGTTATTAGAAAATTTTTGCCAAAGCTGAAGTGGCAATGCCACTTCACACACTGCCACACATAGTTTGGCAAACCGATGGAAATTGGGGTACCCAGATGCTTCAATGGCGATCTCGCATCGGGTAGCGCAATGCCGGTAGACTCCTCACCAAGTGGACTGACGACATCAAGCGAGTCGTGGGGACCCACTGGATTGACGTGGGGATCCTTTGAGGAGGCCTATATCCAGCAGTGGACGTCCATCGGCTGATGATGATGGGAAAAACTTTGAAGAACTCAATGGCACAATGAATAACGCGTTTGGTATACGATCGTGGAAGTTAGCCTTGATGTATGGATACTGTGCATAAATTCCGCATAGATCAATTGATTCAATTTTAGATTACATACTAAACGAAAGAAGTGAATCACCCTGAGAAAATATGGATATTTAAAATTTCTAGCATGATCCCCTAAATAAATTCAGGATCGGTTGAAGCCTGATTTCTTTTTGTTTTTATTCGAAAGGCCTACACTATTAAGACATTTTTGTCAACACTTGCTGCAGACCCAACAGCATCCGCTTACATTCAGGTCATAGCTCATTAGAATTAAAACCATCCGGCCTTTCTGATGTTTGTTGCCATTTCTTGTTCTTGAAGCGCTGACCTTTGGTTAGCACTTTTAGAATGCGGCTGTTAGAAGAAGTTTGGCAAGTCGTGATGACTTATTGCAGGATTTGTCCAAAATGGGTTACTTAACCATTTTGAACCTTCATAAAAATAAAAATCTTTGCAGCTTTTGGACTTTTTGTTTAGCTTTTAAGGGGAACGCGAGAGAAAGCAATCAAATATTTTAAAATATGTATAAGATATTTTAATTTTATGTACCTCACTATAATAATTAATATTACCGTTGCAAACACCCTTGCAAAGGTTCAGATCATTCCCTAATAAATTTATAGGACATAGGTTTATTTTCCAGCCGTACACATGTGTTTTATATGTACAGTATTTTGTATTGGTTTATGTTGTGATCTTTATATTCATGTGACAGTGCAATAAACGATTTGATTTGAAAATTACTTAGGCCTCTGGTCGGGTACCGGATG